CCCCCCCCCCCCCCCCCCCCCCCCGGCGCTCCCCGGATGCCACGGGGTTGCTCCACCAAGACTAACATCGTGGGAACTGGGAATAAGAGAACCCACAGTGAACGTCAGCGTTCCAAACCGGTTCTTGAATTTTGTTTTGGGACCCTCCCTCTCATCGAGATTCGAGATGGTCCTTGTGTCGTCGCCGGTGTCTGTCGGCCCGTCTCCCTCCTCAGCTCAACACTATGCAGAGCAGCAGGAGATTGCTTGGCTCGACTGACTTTCTGGCCACAATGCCACACACCTCCACTGTACACATGCAAACAGTTGTTGGATACGCCGAAAGGGTCCAAATCTGTGTGAACATTACCTTGCGTAGTGTACACTACACAGTATGTCCAGTGTATTGGCGTATAAATGCAATGGTGCAAGGGTACTGCTGCCGTCAGCCATCCAGACGCTCGAGAGCCACGGAAGAGGCTTCGGATTTGAGTAACTGTCGGGCCATATCTTGAATATGCTGTGACAAAGGCGGGCGGCAATGCCATCTCTGTTTGGCTCAAAGGACAAGAAAGGGGTCCACCCCATCAGCCCCTGGCCATGTCCAAAAGAAGTCAATGTTTGGGGTGTTGGGGTCTCCAATGTCCCCCTCGTTTTTACTGTGTACATACCTCTCCGCTACTACGTAAGCCCCTCTCCAAGATGATCATCCCCAGATACTAGTGTACCCCCCCCCCCCTCCTCCCTCCCCCGGTTTCTCATCTTGTGTCCTTTGTTTCCGTCCAACAGATTGGCTGACTTTCCAAACCTCTTGATGCCGAATCCCGTCTCCCCTCTCACACAGTCTGCAAAAGTCAGACCTTGTTGCAAGTCTACCTCCTGCTGCCAAGCCGTCGTGGAGCTCGTGGCCGCCATGGCTGCAACAATGTTTGGTTCCGTGAGCGGATCGTCTTCTTGATCTCCGTGTGCCGCTTCCGAGTTTGGTAAGCGGATGTAGGCACCGGGGACAACAAGACTGCACGTCCCATGCACAAGTCCCCTCACTGTGAGGAGCGAGGACTGTTGCCCTTGGCATGGGATTGAAACCGGGGAGCGGTTGAAGGAATGGATGAACTTATTAAAACCCACCATGATTCCCCATCGTGTGTGTGTCCATCGTGTGCTTTCTCTCTCTTGGTTCAGTTTCCAGTCTCATATTCTCTTCTGGCTGTTCTTCCCCTACTTGGCTTTTCACGTTCCTACACTACCTACATAGTGTGGTGGCACCGCGCAACCATCCCACCCTGACAACAACCTCTTTCTCCAAATCAGTTCGTGACTGAAACTTGGAAACACGGGTGCCCTGTGTTTACTAATTAGTCCATCGTCATCGTCATCATTTGACGTCCAATCCGTAGCATTGGCCACTTCCGTCTTTGTCGTGTAAGTGCCCCGCCATCCGGATCAGTGCCGCATACCTGCCTTTTTTCCTAGACTGCCGTCATACATGGCAGTCAGTGCGTTACATTGCATTCTTCTCCCTCTACCTACTCTCTTTTCCTTTTTAGTTCTGAAACTGACAATAAACTAACTATCGCTTCAGCTACCTTTAAGCCAAGAAATGCCACTTCAGTTCCAACCCTCATAACACTGCAGTATTCGCCATGTCGTTGACTTCCGCTTCCACTCCCACTTACCGTGCTGGTTGGGCCAAGGCCTCCTCTCTGGCTTCTGGCGCCGCTGTAGTTCGCCACCACCATCATCAACAACAGCAAACACGAGGCTTTCGCTTCGGTCGTACGTGGTCATCCTACCTCGACCCCGAGTACACTCAAGATGTCTGCCATCGCCAACGCAGAATTCGCTACAAATACTTCCAGACCTTGAACCGCCGACTCTCGTGGGAGCAGCACCCCTTGGCCGAGAATGCCAAGTCGACCATCAAGCGCATGTCCAAGGACTATTGGTACCCCGTTGAGCAGGAAAACGCAGGGCGGCGACATCTCGACGAGGAAATTGCTGCCAACACCATCAACAACCCAACCGGCATCCGACCAGGTCAAAACATCGAAGATGCAGAGCGTGCACCCCTGGAGGACTTGCTGTTCGGAGACGCCAAGACACAGATCAAGACAAAGGCAGAGGCGCCTCTTGAGAAGTCAAAGCGCAGTCGGGGCAACAAGAACAAGTCCAAGTCGGTGAAGGCGGACTCTGAATACGTGATTGACCCCATCACCAACCGCAAGGTCCTCAAATCGGCCACATTCGGCCTCGATAGCAAGGCTCCGCTATCCAGTCCCTATACATCTCAGTTTACCAACCTCAACCCTCCAGAGCTAGACACCTCCAAACCCATTTTCTATGACGGCCCTCCTCCAGAGGCGGAGCTCAAGGTCTATAGCCAGGTCAAGGTCGACGACGCCCCATGGAACCCCATTGACCCAGCATCTGCCCCGTCTCTTTCAGATGTGCTCCTCAAGGACACACCTGCCCCTGACCTGCTCAACGCCCTGTCGTCGGATCAAGCTAAAGTGTCTTGGCACCCTAACGCGGGAATTGCCGCGACCACAGCCGTGCCGCCTTTGGGTTCCCAACCGCAACCGGTAGCTAATGAGGTATCCGAGGCCATCAACAAGCAAGAAGCGACATATGAGGACCTCAACAAGTACGGACCTGTCAAGGCACACGAACCTGATGGCAAGTACAAGGACACTCCTGAAGTGCCTGCCGACGAAACAGAATTGGGCAAGTATGGCGCAGTTCGCAGCCATGAACCCGATGGCAAGTACAAGCAGGCCTCGGAGGAGACTGTCGACAAGGCGGAGCTTGGCCAATACGGCGCCGTCCGCGCCCACGAGCCCGATGGCAAGTACAAGGAGCAAAAGGAATTTACCAACACTCAAGAATACGACCCTGCTGAATTGGCCGAATACGATTCCGTCCGGGTTCACGAGCCTGACGGGAAATATAAGAAGGAAAAGGGAGTCAACAACTACGATGAATACGACCCCGCCGAACTAGCTGAATACGGTTCCGTCCGGGCTCACGAGCCTGACGGCATGTACAAGAAGGAAAAGGCAGTCAACAACTACGACGAATATGATCCCGCGGAGCTGGCCGAGTACGATGCAGTCCGTGTTCACGAGCCGGACGGCATGTACAAGAAAGAAAAGGGAATCAACAACTACGACGAATATGATCCAGCCGAACTAGCCCAGTATGACGCAGTTCGTGTTTATGAGCCGGACGGCATGTACAAGGAGCAGAAGTCATTCAGCAACACTCAAGAATACGACCCTGCCGAACTAGCCCAGTATGACGCAGTTCGCGCCCACGAGCCCGATGGCATGTACAAGAAGGAGAAGGAGTTCGTCAATTACTCCGAGTATGATCCTGCCGAGCTGGCCGGCTATGGTGCCTTCCGCGCCCACGAACCTGATGGCATGTACAAAAAGGAGAAGGAATATACCAACTACTCCGAGTACGAAGATCTAGATGCGTACGGTAAACCATTCCTCAGCCATGAGCCCGATGGGAAGTACGCTGCGGAGATGGCGCGCGCTGAGCCTAGGTCAGAACCTTCGGTACTAAAGGAGCTCCGCGAGCGCCAGCAGCCTGCCATTGGTGCGGGACTGGAAGGAGATGCAGTCGACGCGGCCAAGCTTTCCGAGGAACTGTCTCAGTATGGTGCATTCAGAAGCCATGAGCCCGATGGCAAGTACGCCGCTTCTGCTCAAGGGCAGAGGCAGGCCCACGCCGCAGAGGAAGACACTCTCAGCGAAGAGAACCCCTTGGAAGCCTTCACCTACGAAGATGCCCAGACCACCAAATCGTCTGCGGTCTCGAAGCCACAACCCGTTGAGCCCACCACCACCAACCCAACCGTCTACAAAATCCTCGCTTTTAACCCCGACACTCAATTCGTCGAAGAAGCTGAGACCACCTCCAGCATTCTCCCCTCCAACTCCAACACCCCTACCTCTCCCGCCGACGTGCTAACCCGCCTCACCAACATCTCCAAGTTTCTCCCACACTTTGCCCGCATCGAGTCTCAAGGGTTTGAGATCGTAGCCGGCTCCGGGGACGTTCTTGTTTTCCGCAAGGTCCGGGAAGGCGTCACTTCCCCTCTTCAATCCCAGACCGTTCATGAGCCCACCGCCGCGAGACAAGCGGTTGCGCAGGCGGATGGTACCCTCGCAACAAGCAGCGGCGGCGGCCCCATCAACCCCGTTGACATGACGGGCGGAAGCCTGAGCGGCGGGAAGAGAGATTACCACGTTGCTACGGGCCGGTTTGCTAGTCCGACGGGATTTGTGAACTATAACTTGCCTAGCTCTACTACTGCGGCCAGTGCCAGTCAGAGTCAGAGTCCGTCCTCTGCGAGTGAAAAGGTTCATTATGAACAGGCTGCTGCTGAGACCCAGCAGCAGCAGGAACAGAAGCAGCAGAAGCAGGAGGAGGAGGTGGGGCAGCAGCAGAGAAAGAAGGCAAGCCTTACCAAGCGCGCAGTAATGGGCGCCGCCTGGATTGCCGGGGGGGCCTACTCGGTTGGTGTAGTGAAGGATTTCTTCAAGACTGGTGGTGTGGATGGAAAGGGATCGAAGGGTCTCTAAGTTCTTTTTACTTTTTTCCTTTTCTTTTTCTTTTTGTTGGAGTAAATGATCATGACACGACATGAGTGGCGTTTTCTTTTAGGGGAATCTGATGGAGGGAGGGCAGGGCGTATACACACGACTGACGGAGGGAAAGTCTTCAACTTGCATGCGAAGGGATCGGTTTCTTTATTTTGGCATTTCCTTACCGATTCTCTTTCTGAGCACTGCTTTTAGCAGTGGTTTATGCCTCTTTTCGCAGCGGGCAACTTTATTAACATCATCATCATCATTATAGATGGGGTCACTGGATACCCATAGATGAATTAAGATCATGGATGGCGGATCATGCTTACTACACATACTTGATGTAGAATAGTCACTCGTTCATAAGTGGACAATGGAATCAAGATGTAAATTAACTGCAATACATTTCGCGGGCCTTTGGAAGGTGATGAATTGTAGCGAATGTTGAATCATACAATAACTATACAGACAGGCGCCTGCTAAGGTAACACCGTTTAGAGCTCGTGATAGTAGTACAAAGTACGTCATTTCATGACCCCCACCCCCCGTTTTCCCGTCCCCTCCTCAACTCGCCATTCGGGTTCGTCCGTGTGACTAGTGCCTCCCAACTTCTGTCGCCATTTTGTAGGGTGAAGAAAAGAAAAAAAAATTTGAAAAGAGAAAAAAAAAAGGAATAAGGTACGGTCAATGGCATATGTTAACCGATTCCGATTCATCCCGCGCCAACATGCTGAATCCAATGCCATTTCCATTCCACGAACTTCCGTTGCGTTGTGTCTTGTTGTGTCGTGCTGTACTGTGACGCGTGCCGAGAACTTGGATCATCATGTCTTGTATGTTGTCCAATGTCGATGCTGATATCACCAAAGAGAGACAGACAGTATGTCAGTCTGTCATCCTGGGATCGATCATTTCCCCTCAATCGTGACGGATTCCGTTTTCCACCCCCAATCACCTTCAATCATCATCACCATCTTCATCAATCACCACCGTCCTCAATTTCTCTCGGTCTCAATACCCATGTCCCCCCTCAGTAAACCCCTCCTCCCCAACCTTCCTCACGCTCCCGCCTGTTGATCCGCTCCTCAGCTGCATTTCATGCTTGTACTGTTCCTGCGACCAGCTCTGTCGGCGGTCGAGCTTGGGTTGCCATGTCGAAGTGTGGTTCATGGCTCTTTGGGCGTAGGCGTCTGAGGAGGAGGAGGAGGTTGAGCTTTGCGAGTGCGATTTGCTTCTGGTGGTGACGGGGGAGGTAGAAGACGTGGATGACTTGGTTAGGGTTTCGGTGAGGTCGGAGTAGGGGGCGGAGGTGATGATGCTGGAAGGAGCGGCGGTTTTTGTTGAAGACATGTTGTTTGTAGGTTTTCCTGGGGTGTTGTTGTGTTGTTGTTGTTAGGTTGGTTGGTTGGTTGGTTGCTTCTGATGTGGTAGAGGTGGTTTGAGGTGTGTTGATGATCGTTGTGTGTTGTACAAGGTTGGTTGGTGGTGAAAGTTGAGGTTTTTGGTGTGGTGTTATTTGGAGGTAGTCAGAGAGAAGGTCGATTCTCGGTGTTCGTTGTATAAGTTGGGTATCAAGAAATGGCAGGAAAAAGAACTATCGTCGCTATCCAATGTTTTCGCTTCAACGTCGCAGTTGCAGTTTACAGTAACATCCAGATTGGAATGTGGAAGGAGGGGGAAAGGGAACACAGCCGGATGCGACACACACTCACCTAATTTATCTTCTTCGTTTGAAAACACAGGAATGGTCTGACGTAGACAGCTGTTGCTTTCGAAGGCTAAATAAAGTTGGAAAGCCACACAAGTGGTGGTCGATCAATTCTGGCTTCCTCACCTCATTGTGCATCTCTACTCGCCACTAGTTTGCCAACAAAAACCCAATGAATTGACAGCAATCATGTCATTGCACAATTGGGTGGTGATACAAATGAGGGGAGTTTCTCAACTGAAGCCGTAAGTTGTATCACGTTACGTAACGTAGCCGGAGGACTGTGACTTATCGGTCCACTCACTGTAAGGCTGTCGATTATGGCCCCACCCTTCCCGCCTTCGGCCCCTAAAAGATCATCTAGGGGTCCCCTTTCAATGGTGGCTTCAGTGGAACTGGCGACCCTAACAGCGGAGTTCGGTGACGTTTTTGTTGTGTGTTTGTCACACTCATTTTTATCACAAACCGTCCTCACTGATATCATTGTTGACGAATAACGATGCTATAACTTCCTGTAATTGGCGAATGAATACGAGCAGCACGTAACAAGCACCACGCTGGGTTGTCCTTTTAAGACGTTGAAATCGAGATCCGACAAACCCATGGCCCCGACGCCGATGACGATTCCCGGTCCCTTTCCCGGTCAACCTCACGATGTCTGATCATGATTGCAATCACGGAACGACCCCTCAAACTCCTCGCGCTCGCCCTTCCACCTTTCAATGACCCTGAAAGTATTGCGTGATGCCATCCGTTCCCAATTTTCCCGTGGGCTACCCAGTCTAAGCGGCACGATTTCCTCCGACTCGGGGATTTCCGGAAGAGCCTTTTCTGAAATAGCCCTCGAATACCGTGAAAGCGTCTTCTTCGGCTCCCGAATTAACACGGCTACCCCGGGGTCATTAATCTTCTCCCCAAACGACTCTCGGATAGATCCTGTCGCTCTGAGCGATGGATCCATCTGACCACATCCATGCCCTTTTCCTTCCCTCTCCGTGACCAAGAAGCTTGATATCCGCGAGACCCAGTTGGGTCGGATCGGCGAGTCTCCGATGCCCTGACCGTCGAGTTCGACTGGAGGAGGGTCACGGTACGTCCAGGTCACGACGGCTGTCTGTCCTTTGTCCACATCGCGTCCATTACCCCGAGAAATTACTTGGTATCCCAGCCCTGCCCCGGCGGCGAGGCGATCGCTGGGAAGCAGCGACGTTCGGCTGTCTGAGCGCTTGATTTGGAAGGTGAAATGGGCCCTACCTCTTCGCGAAAAGGCAAACAGGGAGAAGGAGGGCCATAGTCGGGGAACACTTCTACCGGCTCTGCGTCGCCGGCTGATCAGGATGTAATACAGAACCCACATGATGACAGCGACGGACAGGCTGAGCAGCGGAATCAGGCTTATGCTGGTTCCGTGGTTGAGGGACGCGGTATTATGAGTGCTTGATACTGCGCTGCTGGACGTGGAAGACGGGGGTACGATGGCCGTGGGGAGGCCGGAGATCTTGGTGGTCCATGACTCTTGAGTTAATACCGATGGGTTAAATGAGGTAGGGCTTGGTGGAGGTCTACTATCTGTAAGCAAAACCTCTGGAGAGTCTCTACGAGCCACTGTCGGGAGTGTTTCAATGGCTCGGCGAGTGCTTGTTGTCATTGTTGGATACTGAGGGTTCATAAACGATGAGCTTGCGGTCGTTGGATATTGAAGGATGAAGGACAATGAATTTGCGGAAGCGGCCATGTTGAGTTCGCTGCTGGTCAAGTTGACAACTGCCCGGCCCTGCGTGGTAGTTTACGAATCAAGTGTTTCGTCGTTAAGTCCTGGTTGTTATGTCACTCGTTTATCGATATTGCATCTGCTCTTGTGAAGGCGAAGAACGGAAAAAAGTGTCCTTCGAGGTGTCGATATAAGGAGGCTCAAGTGAGTAGAAAGATAAAGATTCTGGGCGAGCTGAACATGGCGCCAGGCACCTGGGACTCCGTAAGACCACGGAGTATTGTTGCAATGGATGTTACGGCGGAACTCGATCATGGTGTATTGGGTGAGTGATGGACTTCCATCTATCGAAGCGTATGGTGTTGTTGTCTCCTCATCTTTGCTTCAGATATGAGTGAGCAAGGCTGTGGCACCGCTTACTACACTCAGACTTCAAACCCCCAATGACATGACCTAGGAGGCGCAAGTGGCCCCCAACCACGCACTTTGCAGTCTTACACGGCGCCGGTCAGCCTTGAATCTTGGCAGGGGCATCGAGGCACAAGCATCATTCCACATGTTCTAAACCATGTGTTTTGTGATCTACGCCGCAAGGAGGAAGTTCATGGAGAATTGGTCCTGACAGGCAGACGCATTTTTCAGGCGAGGCGAAGTCAGCTGTCGCGGTGCATTACTTAAGTATGCCGCACGATTCGAGAGAAACGACGTCTTCTTGACCATTACCACTGACCAACTATTCGCTATATCAAGAGCCGAGCTCGCGCAGCATACATGATGAAAAGAACGTTTAGCAGAGGGTTCGGAGAGATTTGGAAAGCTTGAAGTTTTGAAAAACTGCTTTGTTCTTGCCCAAAACAACGAAATTGGTCCCCAACTTGAAGGTTCGCTATTTATAATGATCCACAATTACCTTCAAAAGGACGTCAAACATGAGACCGTCACCTGTATTTCATTCAGGGCGAAGTACAGCGTGTCTGCCGATCATCACTGACATTTCAAGTTTTGTTCCGTGCATCCCAAAGCTTAAAATATGATATAGGGGATGGGGAAAATCCGGGGACGCCCAAGAGTTTGAGCACTACCTATGAGGCACCCGGAAGAATGAAGAATCTCCGATATATATTCATCAAATATGGGCCATTGCGAAACAAGTGCTCCTCACGATATACAACAGGAAGGACTAGGGTGAGCATAGGAGGAGAGAAGAGGGTGGTGCCAGCCTCCCATGTCCAACTAGAACATAGAGATCAACATATATCTACCTATGCGCATATGGGTTTGACTATTTCAATTCTTGCTTAACTGCGACAAGATTCATTCTATTCATAACAAATAATAGATATCAACAGACTGACACTTTAAGTCGAAATACATTTACAACCAGAGCTCGACTTCGTTCATGTAACCCAGTACCATTGCTCAGCCTTTGAATGAAACCACCTACTGAACACTGGAAAATACACTAACTAAAGAAAGAAAGAAGAAAAGGAGGTGTTTTGCAAAGATGAGAGAGATTACACGCCACCAAGGATTATACGATGGTTAAACTACGAGGAACTACGAGTGCTCATGCCACCAAAGTGATAAATCCCTTCCATGAATTGTTAAGGGCTTGACAGAACCGTCCTCAGTGTGAATAAGAAGTGAAAGAAGTGAGATAGATACTTACATGCTTGTAGAAGCTGAAACTTTCAGACACGATTCCCATCTTTCTGAAGGTATAGCGCGTCTTCCTTCCGCGACAAGTGACACTTGCCGAAATAAGGTACACTTATTCATGTCAACGACTTCTTAAAATGCCACAACTGCATTCAGTTTCAGCTTATCTGAACAGCAACCCTGGAAAGAGCTACCATTTGAGTCTGGGAAGGCACGACACACAACCGTAGAACTCACTTCTAACTCATGGAGTCAGCCAGACCAAAAGGGAGAACACAAGGATTGCGTGAAGACAAGGAAGTGTTTCGCTAAGGAAGCTCGACGAAGGTGCGGCAGAGCTGTTTCTTAGGTGTCGTTGAATGGCAGCCTGTCTGTCTTTGTAATGCTTTTCTCGTTAGGTGCAGTGAGAGGTGAAGTATAGGTAACTGGAAGGGAAACGGACGGATTTATCTGATCAAAGGAAATCACTTTTGAAATATGACTTGTTGATGTCCCATTCAAACCATCTCCCTCATACAAAGGATCAATTCTCACCAAACATAGAGGAACTCACGTTTACCTGTAGGCCCTGTGCCATGTTACCAGAAAAACATGCTTTGGTGTCCTTTTTCATTACCTGTCCTTCGACTTCTCATTATGATATATGTACAATACACACCTTGAATATATACAATTCGCCTCGACAAGCGCAGCTGGTGTCCGTATGCCTCAGTTATTACGCTGCGGAATTGTAGCGGTCGGTCTTGACTCCATGTACCGAACCAGCATCACTCTGTCCATGCGCACAACAACCCTTGAGGTTTGTCGTGCTATCCACGTCCTCCTCACGGTACAGCGCAGACACAGAAGTCGTATCGCTATTCGCTTTGATCGAATCTGCCGAGGTTGTCGTAACGTTATAGTTTGTCATTATTGTCATCGTCGTCGTCGTTGTTGTTGTTGTTGAGGTTTTCATTTCAAATGACGGCCTGCTATCAGTCGATGTCCTCCCAGCCGCCAGAGGAAAAGGAGAATTCAAAAACTGTTGGTATCGTCCCCTCCCGCTCACTGGTATCTCGCTTAGCGCAGCATCCCCAACCGCCGCCGTCGTCGTTGTTGTTGTTAGCCCTGGGCCGGATTGCTGCTGCTGTCCACCAGTATCGGGGACTTCGATCCATGAGAGACGCTGCCCAAACGCGTTGCGACATGGTCTTCTGCCTACCGTCAGTGGGGGGTCGCTACTGGTGGCAGTTGGCTCGCCTGTGGCGCCTTGTTCACCGCTGCTGTTGTTGCTGGCGCGCGGGTCGAGGAAGCCAGGGAAGAAGCGGACGATGAGAGGCTTCAGGGTCATGACGCAGGCGATGACGATGGCAGTATGGACTTCAATTGCGGTCCAATAGGTGAGTTTGCCGGTGCTGAAGGTGATATCATGAACAGCTGTGTATTGGGAAGCGTAGAGATAGAAGACGCGGACGAGTGAGACGATGCAGATACTGTAGGGTAGGGAAAGATTGTGTGGTGAGTACATGATGTCTCCAGGCGACATGAGTGCGTGGTGATTGGAATGCTTATACTTACACAAAGCCCACGGCGAAGATGCCAACAACGAAAACCTTTTGTCGCGCGGGTAACTTCAAAGGACCGACGATTGGGATGGGCAGAAGAAAGATGAGAAAATCCGTGGTGATTGTCAAACTGGGGAAGCCAAAAGGCAAGAAATGTTAGCTTATCAGTTTGAGGAGTCTGGACTAGTTTAAGGTCAAGAATCAGCCTAACCCTGTGCAGCTCCAGTACCACTGGTTTGTATGACAAGTTGGTTTGGGTAATCCAACGCCCCAAGGTTGAGCCGGATCCCAGAAATCTCGCAGTGGTACACAAGCTGTGCAGATTACTATAATCGTGTAGACACTGGTAATACAAACAATGACGAGGACAGCATATGTAGCCCTCCGTGCCGATTCCACGGTGAAGATGGTGAGATATAACAGGCAGATGGAGATTTTGGTCATCGCCAGCGAAAGGAAATAAGTCAAGGAGGAAGCCCAGAATCCCTATCATGAAGATTATAACATCTAGGTCAGTGTGATCCACTGACAATGCGGCGGCAATGAGTAACTGAGTGATATGGGGTTAGGACAACTACACTTACCGCCATTAAAAACACGTAATTGGCCTCATAATCGACGTTCCATATGTGTTTGCCCATGCCATGTGCGATTTCTGTGAGTTCGTTAGGCTTTGCGATCTTGATATCATATTAGAGAGTGTTTGACAGACCAATGCTTTGGCTGCTGGACATTGCCGCTGCCATCATCTGTCGACATATGTCAGAACGCAGGTAAGAAAGTTGTTGGCAAAATCTTTAGCCTCTAACCAACCAGAGAAAACAGAATGCACCAATCCGATGCCCCAAGCCCGTTAACAGCCCTGGACCGCGCCCAAAACCTCAGGGCGACAAAAATGACAGCAATAGACCATGTCGTCCAGATTGCTCCAAGCATAGAAGGGCCATAATCTTCATTCACACGGTATCCGCGGGGTGGTGGCGTCGCCGTGTTCTCCTCTTCAGACCTGTACAGCACATAGGCCTCAGAACTGTACCTGCTCCCATGCATGCCGGGGACGACGGGTGCATCGAGGAAAAGAGACTCTGTAACAGCTGTAGGTAAGGGCGAAGGATACACGCCTCTCGCCACGGTCACCCTTACAGGTCGGTGGAAGGGTCGAACTCGAGGTTTGTATTAAAGGGGTACCCTACCCTGCCCCTGAAACCTGGCTTCACCCCGGCAGCGATCTCTGTATGTGGCCGAGGCAATCCCAAGATCAGAGGGTGGGGCGAGCAAATGGTGTTATCTTGGGCCTGACGAGATGACGATGATGTATTGGCTTGCTAGCGGGCGAGCGTCCAGTGTTCCCGATTAGGAGAGCACACGAACCGGAATTTGGTCCGCTCAATGTGGTTGATCTGATCGAGGTTATCACAAATGGAAAACTGGGCCTCGAGGGATCGGTAGCGTTTGTAGGTGTGTTATTGCTGAGGTAAAGCGAGAATGCTGAATGCTGACCGCCTTTCTGAAATTGGTTTTCCGCGGAGTTGTGGTATGATAACTGCCTCTTCCGGTCAAGGTAACAATAAACCTGGCACGTTGTGAGTTCTACATAATAGGGTCACCGGTGGTCGACAAACAAATGTGACTGAATCAAGAGGGTCATCAGGCTTTGCTATTGAGATGACCAGAACTCTCGGATGAGGACAATCCCGGTTGGTGGTCTCGACCTACAAGTGTGAGAAAGGTCGAGTCCGGGCGACTAACTATGGGATTCCATCATTTGTTAGTTGTATTGCTGTACCTAATTTCTCCCCCGGGATGAGATTATCATTACAAGATGACAGAGTAGAATCTCTGGGACTCTCACCTTGCTCAGGGAATTTTGCCTGACAAGCTCCCTCGGCCAAGCGGATGATGCTACACTGCTTGTGGGCAGCTGACGACGACGTCTAATCCGACCTGGCCGTATTCGGAGTCGTTGAAACGAGATCGGTTCCAGCCAGACGGTACGCGATGGGTCCAATTGGGCTGGTTTGGTTGGGCATAAGTGCCGGGCCGCTGGGTCCCAGTGACTGCCGAGAGTATAGTGTCTTTCAGTCTTTGGAACTGTCTGAAGACCACGCCTTCTGGTGTCCTTGGTTGATTCTGCGCAAAGTAAAATAATTGAAGGGCACAAATACAGCCGGGTAAAACTTGGGACTGCTCGAGGTGAACAGGGCAAAGAGTGGTATTAGTGTAGATGAAGTAGTGGGAGATCAAGGAGGAGAAGAGATCATCATCTGATTTCCGCAGGGCCATGGCAAATAGTGCAGGATAGAACACAGTGTCGTGGATGATATAAGAACGTGCACGGCTAGTTGAACGGTTGTGGTCAATAACGCGGAGCTAGTGTGCACTGGGACCTTGCCAGGATCGACACAGGCTGGCTCGTCGTGAACAAAATAGTTGAGACCTTTGACATTATACCTTGGGTGTACTCCTACTACGTATCCAAGCGTCTCTGTAACACCTCTGGTCTTAAGTTCTAAGTAATTTCGAAATGAAAACATACAAATAGGACTCTAGCCGCTGTCTTTTCAAATTATTATAATCCCTTCCACAATCTTACAACAGCCGTTTCTTCCATCTTGACGAGCGGTAGTGGACTGGTTTACCTAGCCTGTTGGTTGGTCTCACTTATTTTGTCTCCGACGAGGCTGGATATCTGACATATCCTCCTCGAAACCCCCAGGCCTGATGCCAGCGTGAAAACGGAGATTGCCTTGAGAGGAACATCACGTCGTCCTGGTCTCCAATAAATGAAGGGCTCTCAGTGGCTGGGCGGACTAGACATGAATTGTTGCGCACAGGGGATCCCCGCGGATATACAATTAACCCAGCCCTGAGGGGAAAACAACGAGTAGCTAGGTTTGCTTGCATCGTAATGAGAACCTCGCTCACCTTCGTTTGCTCCATTGTGGAATCCCATAGACTCAATCCGAGTCAGACTCAGACTTGGACATTGTCTATGGGATGGAGATAGCACGCTGATGAAGAGCGGCGAGCTGAGCAGTAAAGTGGTTTGATGATAAGATCGTGCCAAGATAAAAACAAAAGGGGGGGAGGGTTTCTTTTGATGAGCCTGTCTTCACTCATCGTGCCGCCAGATGACTGGACCGAGATCGACTTTTCTGGTCATCCCCCCACCACACTACCCACGGAGAAAAGTCCGTAGTGTCCTGTCAAAATTTGATCAAAGTCGTTTCACCGCCTGTTGTGACGACGTCTCGACGTTCACAAGAGAGCCATAGCTTCGAAATGAGCTTCTCGAAGAGGACCATCGAGGTTGCGAGTGTTTTTTTTATATTTTTGCTCGACTTGGTGGAGTAAGACCGCAGATCCACTGCGCTATCGGAGGGTTGATTCGGCATGTTGTCGGTTATAATAAGGGATCTCGAACATAACTTAATGGGGTGAGTGTGATGGCTTCTCGGTAACACAGTCTCCCGCGTCCATGCTCATTCGAGTGGCCACTGGCCGCTATTGAGTGTTCGGAGTGGAAAAGTACCGAAATGCAATATCACTTGAGATCGTCCCAGAACCATGTGACAGATCTAAATCCCCAAGAAGAGAGGTACACTATATAGGATGAACAATAAAAAGCAACGGGCGACGATGATCGCGGATCGGGATGACGACCTGGTGGGAGATCCAATGCCACCCAACTAACCCGCCGACATGATGTTTACCTAAGGATTGGTGGACGACGGGAGGGGAGTGACCTAGTTAAGGTGCCACTGACGGCGGTTTGAATCAGAAACGCGCCAGGGGCACCTTCCAGGTACCAGCAGCCAAATCCTGGGGTGCATCAGCCCGCTCCCACCAGGACGTTCCACAGAACGGAATGGATGGAACGGTCCTGCGCGAATCGTGAACAGGGCGTCTCCAGGTGGGTTGGGGACGAACGCCCAGTGGGTGAGGTGGTGCAGGTGCTCGGGCCAGTGAACTTGCTGCGGGGGCTTTGAGGCTAATTGGGGCGTCGGGGCACGCCATTAGCCCCTGCTCCTGTGAAGTCCCCTCGTGCCTGCCGGGATCCTGGCCGTTATCAATGGCCTCTAACTGGAAATTTTCCAGCAGCCGTCGCGGGGCAGGCAAAGAGGTAAAGAGGGTGCTTGCATCTTCCAGTTTGGATCTCGGAGAGTCAAGAGATAGACTTTCACGGAACACTTTGAACACCAATCATCGAGGCAAATATTATCCAGTATCACTATTGCACCGACTGTACATCTGGACTCGACACCAAGCAATACTATCACAACAGCCAATCATTAGCGCGACCGTCTCCGAAGAACTTCAACTACTCCGAAGGAATCACCTCTTCCTCACCTCGCCGAGCAGACGGCGACAAATCTCCCCAACTTTTTTCCACACCAGCCAGGAAACCCGCCATGGCACCTCCCCAACCAACAACCACAAAACCCGACGTAGAAGACGACCCCATCGTCGCCACCTACAACGTCTTCATCAAGCCTCCCCTCCCCCAAGACCGCAAGCTCGTCGTCCTCCGCTACGTCACCAAGACCGCCCAAGACCCGTCCTCCATCAAGCCGCCACGGATCAACGGCTTCCGCGTGAAGCCCGAAACAGGCATCTACGAGGTCGACATCCCTCTCGAGACGAGCGATGGCTACAACAAGGACAAGGGTATTGCGTGGGGTGTGGCGCTAGCCAAGTCGATGGAGTCCAAGAAGGGCGGCAGTCTTGGTCTGGCCGGTGGTTTCAACATTGGTGGACAAGGAGGATCGGCACGTGGTGGTCCTGGAGCTGGTGGTGGTGCGGGTGGACGGCGTGGCGGTAATTCTGGAGGAGGAGGAGACGATGATGAGGCGCAAAACCTGAGCTGGCCTGAGGCTGTGGCGCAAGGCAAGGCCGTTATCGACCAGAAGTTGACGGGTAGTCGTAGTGCAGGCGAGGATTACGTGAAGCACATGGTTGGTGTGTTTCAAGGAAGTGAGTCCAGTTTAACTTCCCTCCTCTTCTCCATTCCCATTACCAGTTCATCCTCACTAACACTCCACCTTTTCCTCCAACAGACAACCTCCATCTGACCCCAGTAACCTCCCTCGTCCAACTCCGACCTGTAGCCCCCTACCTTGACGCCGCCACCGAGCAAGAACGGCTTGCTCGTCTTGGCCCCTCCGCCGCGGGCGGCGCCGGTGGTCCCGCCGACAAGCAGGCCGCGGGGCGTGCTATCCACATGTCCATCAAGTCGTCTGATTCGGGAGCGGCGGGAGCGGCAGCCGAGACCATGGCGGACCGTTTGCGCGCTGTGCAGACAGAACCCTGGCACAACCTCAAGTGGTACCACGACGAGCACGGCGAGGCGTGGGACACGTATAATGAGTGTATGCTTTTGCGGTCGAGTGAGGCTGCTAATGCTGCGCCGGTTGCAGAGGAGGAGGTGGATGAAGAGAAGAAGAAGGAGATGAAGGAAGAGAAGGATGGGGAGGAGGCGGCGGCAGAGCCAACAGATGATAGCGGAGCGCCTGATTTGGTTGAGAAGGTGAATAGGCTGCAGTCGGATTGGGGCGAGGAGCAAATCCTGCGGTCGATCAACGGGTTGGGGCCGGATGATAAGAAGCCAGGTGAGGAGGCGGTTTCGGTGCCCTCGGTTTTTGGCACGAAAAAGGCCACCGTCACGGCTGCGGCGAACAAGGTTGTTAACAGCAAGGGAAAGGGAAAGGTGGTAGCAGCGGCAACATCTTCTTCGTCGAATGCCATGCAGCTTGACTAGGAGTCAGAGACTGTCGGCGCTAAGAGAAGGACCTCACGCTTGAAGCGGTAAAGGCAAAGGGAGTGGGAGCGAAAGCTGAGCACATATCATATGTGAGCCTTTCCGAAGCGGGAGCCCCTTTATAGAGGGTCAGCGGCTACTACCCTTTGGTTAACTGATAGATTCCCTTCTCATCTTTAAGAAAAATACGATACCCTACGACTGACTCCCATTCTTTCCCGCCTTCTTCCTCACAGGCTTGCCCCTGAAAACAGATCGTTATGGTGACAGGTGTGGCGAACAATGATCAATGATGTTTGACCTCGCAAAACCCAACCCGACCGACCGCTCTTTTGGTCCCTATTCTACAGGTGTCTCCATCCATCCATCCATCCATACAGCAATGCCGAGTTATATAGAAACCAACCGCCAAGTTCTTTTCTTTTCCCCAGCGATGCAATGTAGGTAAGAAGAAACTCCTCCTGCTTCCCGCCCAAGGAGTTTACCTTCCAGTAGTAGGTAAGCCAAAATGTTTATTAAAGTAAACAATTCCTTGTGAAATGGCCCATACACATGGTTCCTGTTCCTCCACCAAGCTGCTTTTTTGATCCGCCTCAAAAGTATGAGCGAGTCTCTCGATATATGCGAGGGACTCTTCAAGAACAATCGCTGACCAAACGCGATGCAATCTACGCAACTTTTCCGTTTTTTCGATAATGATGATGATGATCGTCGTTGCTTAAACCACCCGCCCAGATAGTTTTTGCAACGGACTTTCAAAGTCAATGTGTGTAGGGTTATTGCCGAGTTGCTTACTGGAGCAGCTCAACGTCGAGGCCGATCGACCGCATGAAGAGGTTGACGTTCTGCAGACGGTCGGCTGCGAGTGCTGGAGGCAAGGTCTTGGCGAGGCTGACGGTGTCCATGACACGATCCTTGACAGCAATGACAAGTCTTTGCTGCTGGTCAGGGCTGGCACCAATACCGATAGCGGCGAGAAGCTGCCAGACGTAGGTATCCTGATCGGTGGCAATGCTACCGGGGAAGATGTACGGAAGAGTGGGCTCGAGGATGTTGAAGAACTGAGTGTAGGTCATGTCCCTGTGGCAATGATTAGCATTTGATTCATGTCTCATGAAACCATGAATATAGAGGAACTTACCAAGAACGCCAATCCTGTTCACTGCCTCCGCCATTATGCTTGATAAGCTCCGCCCGACTGAGAATCATGGTAAGCATCGACGCGCCAATTCTGCTCTTGGCGATGACGTCCACGTTGCGCGTGCACACAAGACCAAGGATGGCGGCAACAAGATCAAGGCCGAGTTCGTTCATAAACGTAAACAACGTGGTTACTATAGCAGCCGAGAACAGCTCGATGTTCTCACGCATAGCGGCGTTGAACTGGATGTCATCAGTTGTAACCTGAGCTTCTCGGACAACGTCGAGTTGGTCGAGATTCACGACAATGCGCGTGAAAATGGTAATCCTTTGCTCGTGGTTCGTGTGACGGAAGATGCGCGGTATGGCTTTCTTGCCCTTGCTGTAACTAAGGAGGGCCATGAAGGGGTGGATACGGCCTGGCTGGTCGTGATCCTGCACCCTCAGAGCCTTCCAAAGTTGCTCATTCAACGCTTGTCCCTCGTTACTCCATGCAAAGACCTTGGCAAGCGCTTCTTGATCGTCCTCGGCAGGCGCCATAGGCATGTTGCGTTCGTGGTCTTCCATCTTCATAAGTGTAGTGTATACCAGCTCGAGGGCCCTCAGTTCGTCCTTCTTGTCCCGGCCATTAACAGGATGCGGTGCCTTCTTCACATCGTTGGCGCTGTCGTTACGCTTGATGTTGAGAAGCGGCTTCGGGGTCTTGGCGTTGCTGAAGGATATCTTGCCCAAGCTACCTTCAATAACAAGCTGCTTATTCTTGGGCTTGTTCTTGGCCGCCTCAACAGCACGCTGGACCTGTTGTTCCATCCTCTGCATATGGTTCTCAGGACCCCTGTTATGGCGGCGCATACCTCCTTGGCGGCTTCCTGTCTGAAACAGATAGGTCTGAGCGAACTGGTTCAGAGGCTGGCTGGGGTGCTGACGATGGCCAGCCTGGATCTGACTATGAACTTGATAGTAAAAGTCCTCGGCGAGTGACTCGTCTGTGCCGTGTTCATTGGGATTTCCAGTGGCTGCAACAAGCTGCTGAAGCTGGATCCGGGTGATGAAGTTCTTGTCCTGTGGCGTCATGATACCATTGTCGCGAGACATTTGGAAGATCTTGTGGTTGCGCTTGGCGCGCTTAGCTTCCTGTTCAAGATACGCAGCCTTTTCCTCCTCCGAGAGCTGAGCCAGCTGGGCAGGATGAAGAATCATAGGGGGCTGTCGCGGAAGAGAGCCTTGTTGCCTGTGGCCCTGGTGAGCGGACTGAGGACCGGACGGAGGCGTAGGGTGAACAGACAGCCCGATCTTAGCCGCGTCGCCTGAAAGACGGTTGGGGTTCTGCAGGATCTGAGTAGGCTGCTGAGGAACAGCGGGTTGCTGATGCTGTTGGATAGCGGGCGGTTGGGAAGAGGGTTGAGCTGGCGTAGGAGGTTTCGAGTGAGGCCGCTGGAGAATTGTCATGGGATGTCCTTGCGGTTGATGGTACAGAGGTTCAACGACACCGGCTTGGAAGTGGGCCTGCGGCTGGTTCTGAGCTTGGTTCTGGTAGAGGTAAGCCTGTTCATGTGGAATTTGATGGGGCTGATGCTGAGGAGCGGGAGATGGGGTGGCCGCCTTAGCCTGGGCGCGCATCTGAGCCTCAACCTCCTCAAGACTCAGCATCTTGCGGCCCCCAGACGGCGCGCTAGGAACGGCAGGTTGAGCAGGCGGCGGCGGTTGCTTCTTGGGTGCGACACCCCAGAGAGCAGCGTCAACCTGAAGATCCTCGATCGGCTGCTCGTGGTATTTTTCATAGCCGGTCCTGGCAGGTCTAACTGGAGCCTGCGCGAAATAGTTGTACGAGGATCCGGCGATGGACGTATAGGCCGATGGCTGCGCGACAGGCTGGGGAGCCTTGGCAGCTGGTTGTTGGCGGTTGAAACGAACATTTTCCTCTTCAATGACGTTCGCGACCTTGGCGGTGTGGCCAAAGAAGTCAAAGTCTTTGCCTACAGGACCCGGCTCGCCAGTATCGCCGCCAAAAGTATCATCATTGAAGGCATCGTCGGTCTCATCCAGCTGGTCACCCAAGCCATCATAAGTGTCCTCGAAGTCGATTTCTTCGGCTTCCTCGTCCCGGTTGGCTAGGCTGGCAAAGGGATCGTGAGCCTGGGAGAAGCCGGGAGCGGCGGTATTATGGCGAGACTGGTCGAAGTTGAAGAAAGACATGTTGGCGATGCTTGTTGGGTTTATGGGGAAATTCTATGGAGGTATCACTATTGTAGGGTCAGTATACGTTGAACGAAGAAAGATCGTTGCGGCGCAAATCGGGGCGTGATGTTGAGCTTTGGCTGATTGGCAAGGGCACAGAGGAAAATGAGGGGCAAAGCAAGGGAAAAGACAAGACCCTGGTTGGTGAGTGGGACGAAAAGTATAGAGAAGGAACAGCCGTGACGCAGGTTCACGAAGTTCTGGGTGAAAGGGGGAACAGGCAGGGCTTGAAGGTCTACACTAGTCTTCAAACATCCCGAGCCAAGCAGAGGGGCGACTCGATGGATGTTCCACTAGCTGAGGGTGGTGAGCTGTCTCTTGAAGCGCGGGGCAACAACAACAACAAGATCGAGAATTGGGACATGGCAGCCCAACTTTCATCCCATGACCTTGCCAACCCGAGACTGCAAGCACGCTGTAGAGGAAAGAAAGAACAACATACAGAACGATATGTAAAGATGTTGGTATGATCGGTTTGGTCAAGCACCATGATGCTGCGATGCGCGACGTGAAGGGAAAGGAGACGTGTCGACGGCGGTGCGACTCGTGCAAAGGAGCGGAGCAGAGCTTGTCAGGGCGGCAACAAACACTCAGCGCTCAGGTTGGAAATATTAAAACAGAGAAGCAAAGAAGGCTGTGAACTAACGACCGAAAGCGCAACTGGGTGCGCCGCGGTGAAGAGGTGGATGCGGTTGCTCGGAGTGGTAGCTTGATGGCAGCGCAAAAGGCGACAAGAGACCGACGGAGATGGATGAAGTCAGGCCAACTCCAACTCAGAAGCCAGATCAGGGAGCTGTGGGCCAATCGCCCCCGAGGGCCAATGGAGCCAACAGGTGGGCGGGCGGCGGTAGGCCTGACGCTTTGACACACCACCATCCTGCCTTGCCGGTGCCTGTTGACTGACGATGGGACTCCCAAGGCCGCGGCCGGGGGAGTGATTGCCACGGTTGGGCGGCAACCAGAGGCCCATTGCCTGCCGGGCTGTGGGATCCTCTACCTCTACCGCCGGCAAGAATGTCCATTCCATCCTTCCAGTCTTGCAAGTTGTTTTATCCGATGAGCCAATCGGCGATACCCGCCCGCTAATTGGATTTGAAGACCTGGGTGATGCGTAACAGTGATCGATAGAAGGCTAACAACATGAGACCCGGACAGGACGGCAACCTCATGGTCAACATTTAACGCCAAGCCGACAACCAAATTTCAAGCTCGAGATATCGATTTTGGCAAGAAAGCTGAAGGACTGTAGCTCAGGCATCCATTCTTCTGCCCTGACATCCGCGACTAAACGCAGCTGTTCAGACAGTGCTTCTATGCGAATTCGCCATTCCGATGCAGGTGAAGCGGACGCGCGGACATGGACGGAGGCAAACATGGCATGGGCTATAGGAGTACGTATCTTGAGGCTGTTTTCTTGACAGGTGACTGTACTGTACATAGTAGTGTATGCAGTCGAATTGTATTAGGGGCCTAGTATTTCCCTGTTGTTTCTTTTGAGAGGGAGGTATCATGCCCGGCCATGACTCAAGTGTTCTTCGCCATCTTGAAGAACTACTCCGATCGGAGGAGCAATGCGGAAGGAGCAGGCCGGCAGCAGATCATATTAACCAAAGTGTCATGGTATGAGCTAATCGGCCACTTCTCAGCATGGTAAAAAGATCAAGAAGCTCAAGACATACCCCTCCGTTGACGGATGCGACATGTGAACTGAAGTGGTCGTAGGCAGTGCCCCTGGAAGTTGACGACGCCCGTCTCAAGGGGGTTTTTGTCCCTTACTAACAGGGCCACGCTAGAACCGTCACGGCCCGCAATAATGGGGTACCTGCGGATACAGGTGACGACGAAGCTGTGGGGGCACCGAGGGCACCCTAATGTCTTTCCCTGTCGCCTACCCCCGCGGCCAATCTTTTGGTCCTGGCCGGACGGAAACATTGAGGTGCTCAGGGGAATGCACCGCAAGCGACCATCACGAACGGGGATGGAATGCGATAGCTTCCGGTATGTAGACATTATTCAGGCCACTTGCGGACGTTAGTTGCTGAAGATGTTGTAGATACGTCTACCGACATTTTTGGGATGTTTTCATTACAGGCTGGTTCGCACCTACCTAACTAGAGAGGCCGAAACATGAACAACACTTGAGATACCAGCATCTCCATGCTAGACATTCCTCTAATATCCAAGTCCCCAAGTATCAGAAAAAAGTATCCAGGGGTATTTACAGTCTAAAAAAGTGCCAGACTCTTCTCAACCAACGGCCCGGGTACCCCTTTGCATACGCGGACGTGGCACCCCTCTAGGTACCTCTACCAATTAGTGTGCCTAGCAAACCTCCGCATTATATCCATACAATACCAGGCAATACGAAGCTGCAGTGGGCTGCCCTAGCAGGACTGCGCCCGAGCCTTCGAACCCTGACAGCTAACAACACTTGGCTCCCGTCCCGCCTCCAAGGGAACTTCTTCCTCCTTCAACTGCACTTCTTTTTCAGGATCCAGGTTTGGCCATCTTCTCTCCTGGTTGATTTGTCTCTTTCAACCACCGAGGCCGTATACGCCATCTGCAGTTCCATCTCGGACATCTCCCCGGGATCCGGACATCTCAAGACTTGTCGTGCAGCAGCGATTCACGAGGGATCCGGGTCGCTTCCTTCCGTGGCTCGCCTTCAGCCGTTGTCCATCCTGTCCCACAGGACCTGCGAACACGAACGTTCGGAAACACAATCACCACTGCACTCGACAAACTTTAACTTTGGGCTCATTTTAGTCCACATTTCTTCAACATGGCGGCGGGCAGCGCACGCTACGTGCGCTACATCCTCCTTGCCTTTTTTGTAAGTCTGATCATCTCTGGTACTCTTCTTGGCTCAATGCTCTGCACTTAACAGTACCTGTTCGCTTTCCCGGTACCCCACTAACCATGACGTTAGGTTATCGCCGTTCTTTACTTCATCTCTACCCCGACATCCGTCGTGACCCCCCTAAAAGATAACTTTGGCAAATTCCAACAATCCACCGGAAACTCGAAGCCATCGACTGGAAGTACTACCGGAAGTACCACCGGAGGCACCACCGAAGTTGCCCACGATGAGAAGACACCCACTAAGAGCAATGGCGCCGACTACGATCCTGCCCAGTACCCGTTGGCCATGACTCCGAATGACCCGGGCTGGAACGACTTATCTGGCGTTAAGGGCGGCCCTCGCATGAACGCGACCTTTGTCACCTTGGCTCGCAACGCCGATGTGTGGGAAATTGCAAAGTCGATCCGCTCAGTCGAGGACCGTTTCAACCGCCGCTACAACTACGACTGGGTCTTCCTCAACGACAAGCCGTTTGACGAAACCTTCAAGAAGGTTACCTCCTCGCTTGTCTCCGGCAAGACGTACTATGGCGAGATTCCGACCGAGCACTGGTCGTTCCCGCCTCACATCGACCAGGAGAAGGCCAAAAAGGTTCGCGAGGACATGAGACAGCGCAAGATCATCTACGGTGACAGTATCAGCTACCGCCACATGTGCCGTTTTGAGTCCGGCTTCTTCTTCCGCCAGCCCCTCATGATGAACTACGACTACTACTGGCGCGTCGAGCCGAGCGTCGAGTTCCACTGCGACATCCACTACGATCCTTTCCGCTTCATGCACGAGAACAACAAGAAGTACAGCTTCGTGCTCAGCCTTTACGAGTACTTCGAGACTATCCCGACCCTCTGGGACAGCGTTACCAAGTTCATCAAGAACCACCCCGAGCACATTGCTGAGGGCAACTCCATGGCTTTCCTCAGTGACGATGGTGGCAAGACCTACAACAAGTGCCACTTTGTAAGTATTGTCCGTGAGGATTCACAGCTTGCGACAAGTTTAGTCTAACAACATTATAGTGGTCCAACTTTGAGATTGGTAGCCTCAACTGGCTTCGCTCCAAGGCCTACACCGACTACTTCGAGTCTCTGGATCAGGATGGTGGTTTCTTCTATGAGCGCTGGGGCGATGCCCCGGTCCACTCTATTGCCGCCGGCTTGATGTTGAAGAAGGAGGAAATCCACTTCTTCAACGACATTGCCTACTACCACGTTCCCTTCACTCACTGCCCCACCGGAGAGCAGTTCCGTCTCGACCGCAAGTGCCACTGCAACCCCAAGGAGAACTTTGACTGGAAGGGGTATTCTTGTAAGTCTTACCCGGAAGTTCCCTTCTCTTACTGAGCCGTCCACTGACCCCAATCACTTATCAGGCACTTCGAGGTACTACGAGCTTAATGGTCTTCCGAAGCCAGAAGGCTGGCAAGATCAGTCGGATTAGAAGGAGGCGAAGAAGAAACAGTTCTGAGGGTGTGGGGATTAAGGCTTTATGTTGGGGAAACAGGTCTGCAAATAAAAACAAAAGCGGACATTCCCTAGAATGTATTATCGTTATAATGACTTTTCCGTTCACAATTGGTGGTACAACCCAATTGCCTAGAAACATGGACCTATAAATGGGAAAGGTTGGGCAAAAACGAAGCTGCGTTTTCTGAGTGTTTTGATGGACAAGAAAGGGCTATAAGGGGCGTTAAGGAAATCATGACACAATCACTTAGGGTTAGGTTGTTACTGCTGAGATAACCCTGGTATTGCCAGGTGTGAAAAGGCAAGTTGACAGCAAAACAGTTGGTCCAGTGTCTCCGTCCTTCCCCGAAGCTGCCAGTCGATCCATTATCTCGTCTTCGGTGTTGTATCATCTTGAAAATGGATGGCCAGTCTTCGACAGTCGTAATACAAGGAATATGGACGCCGATATCCTGTCATGCACCTTTTATTTCCTTATAGTACACGGACACATAGTTTAGGATGCGGAATGATGAACTACATGGATGAAGCTTAAGCACCTCCACCACGCTCACATCACATCATCATCATCCTATTGCCATGTAACCAGGGGGGTATCATCTCAATTGTGCTCTGTTGTGCTAGCTGCTTAACCAACAGAGGCCTTCTTGGGCTTCTTGGTACCGTACTTGCTACGACTAGACATACGAGTAGCAACACCGGCCTGTTTTATCACCATCCTTTGTCAGCACGTCATTTCCACAAACTAAACACCCATCTTCCCCTTTTTTTCTCCTTCTGTCTCTCCCTCCATCCAGGGGTCTCCATTTAGGGATTTTTCTTCTCAGGGAAAAACTTACCAAATCCAAAGCACCTCTAACAAGATGATACCTCACACCAGGACAATCCTGGGCTCTACCGCCACGCACGAGCACGACACTGTGCTGCGAGATGTTGTGGCCCTCGCCGGGGATGTAGGCCGTGATGACCTTACCCGTGGAAAGACGGACACGGGCAGTCTTGCGTTCGCCCGAGTTGGGCTTCTTGGGACGCGTGATGCCGACTTTGACACACACACCCTTGAGCGCGGGAGACTTGATGGAGGACAGGGCAGGGGAGACGGCGTGGCGGGCACGTTGGGGCTTACGGCAACCCTGGAGGAATGAAGATAAGAGTGGTTAGCTTTTGATCGGATTGAATTGGACGCAGGACGTAGGGCTGTGGTAGTAGCATGGGAACCAAAGTGGTGATAGGTACATAGGTAGGTAGGTAGGTAGGTAGGCGGGTTGGGGATAGCCTCATCATCACTTACCCTCATGACCTGGTTAAGAGTGGCATTCTGCGCCGGAGTGCTGGAGAACAACCGCGCAGCAGCAGGAAGGATGGAAGAGGACGATGGCATCAGCGGCCGCCGTAGCAGCGACGGCTGCGCCTGCGAAAACAAGTTCCGCAAGAAAGTCGTCGCCATCTTGTGATTTTGTGGATCTTGCTGATGGCGGGATGAACAACGAACCCGGCTCCGAAATCGTCAAGTTCGGTCGGTCGCGGCGCGCAACACGCGGTACAGTACGGGATAGCGGTTCCCCAGGCCCGGCAGGCGCACGCAGGGCCGGCGGCGGCGGCGGGCGGTACCAGTGTGGGAACATTTTTCGTGTCACGGGATGAGACACGTGGAAATAAGCCGAGCCAAGAAGGTACGTACCTATCGCTCGAGGGACGGAAGCCATTGGGTATGCTTCAGTGTGCGGCAATCATCGGTTAATTGTGAGCCTGCGACAAACTGACTGACAGTCACATGGCATTTGTTTTCCATTCCGTTCGTTTCATTGAACTCGTTCGTTGGCACCTCGTCGTTCCATTTGTATCGCTCGTCTGGCTCTGTTTTGCCTTCTCGTTCACGATCCATGATTTGCAATTCACGATCAAACACGATCCAGCAACAATGGTCACCGCTCGCCGCGCCCCGTGCCCGGCCATCATCAAGGTCCATTCGAGAGAGAGTGTCCCTCCTCCGATGTCCCGTCTCTACCGTGTCCCCCCCCCAAACCAATCCCTGTCGTGGCCACCGTTTACCCCGGCCAAGGAAATCTTTGTGGGGAAAATGACCTCTGAAGAGGGCCAGTTTGGAGCTTTGTGAATGGTGGAGAACTTACCTCGGCAGAGGGGAGACACTTGACCCAGCTGTTCACAGCATATCGGCCGTGTGCCGGCCAATGCCATTGACCTTTATTACCCGCTGGCTTGGCTTTTGAATTACTGAAAGAGAGAGAGGCATGGAGAGAGCTAACAGTAGAGCTCTTGTCCCGGTTGCCCGTAGGTATCCTGCTATCAAGGTGTACGCACCTATCTCCTCGAATACCGCGTGGGCTTCTGCGATAATGATCTGTTCTGTATATCGAATGCATAGTGACAGGTTAGACACATCGAAGGTGTAGGAGATGCATATGATGCAAAGGTCAAGAGAAATCGGGACTCTCTTCACCTTATCTTGAGCCCACGCTGTCACTGTTGCTTGCCTTCCATCCAATACTCCACGGATCATTGTTACGGAGCTACATAAGTACATATTTCATCTGGTCGTTAGTGTTAGCTCCGCTGTACAGTGTCCCGCGACTTATAAGTACCCGAAGCTCGTTCCATCACACCTCCAGTTCTCCTTCTCCAAGCATTTGATACCCTTTCCGCCTTTTTTCTTCCATTATCTCTGACCTCTTCGTTCTTCTTAGACAGCACTCGCGCCAGGTCTCCGATCGGTTCTTTAATCATAACACATACGCATCAGACACAATGAAGTCGTTCACTAGGGTTTTGCGTCCCGCCGTCCGCAGGGCTCAGGCTGTTTCCGCTCCCAGACTTTCCAGAACTCCTGTCGTCCAATGGTAAGTTTTGCCATCTCGTCTCATGCTTGGTCTGGTCTCAAAAGAGATGGCCTAGAAGAGGGAGCAGGCAATATGCTAATACTTGGTTTCCCGAGATAGCGCTCGCCCTCTTTCCACCACCTCCCCTCGCCGGGACATAACCGATCTGCCGCCAACCCCCATCACGCACTTCTCTGAGGTTGAGACCGCCATGGCCGAGACTGTCCAGAAGTTCGCCAACGATGTCATTCTCCCCAAGGTCCGCGATATGGATGAGGCCGAGGCTATGGACCCCGCCATTGTCGAGCAGCTTTTCGAGCAGGGTATTATGGGTGTCGAGATTCCCGAGGAGTACGGCGGTGCCGGCATGAACTTCACCGCCGCCATTGTTTGTATTGAGGAGCTCGCCCGCATCGACCCCTCGGTATCCGTCATGGTTGACGTCCACAACACCCTTGTCAATACCGCCGTCATTCGCTGGGGTAGCGAGGCGCTCAAGAAGAAGTACCTCCCCAAGCTGGCCACCAACACCGTCGGTTCCTTCTGTTTGTCCGAGCCAGTCTCTGGCTCTGATGCCTTTGCCCTAGCCACCCGCGCCGTCGAGACAGAGAACGGCTACAAGATCAATGGCAGCAAGATGTGGATCACCAACAGTATGGAGGCCGACTTCTTCATTGTTTTCGCCAATGTCGACCCCAGCAAGGGCTACCGCGGTATTACCGCCTTCATCGTCGAGAAGGGCATGAAGGGCTTCAGCATCGCCAAGAAGGAGAAGAAGCTCGGCATCAAGGCCTCCAGCACGTGCGTGCTCAACTTTGACGACGTCGAGGTCCCCAAGGAGAACATTCTCGGCAAGGTCGGCGAGGGCTACAAGTACGCCATTGGCATCCTCAACGAGGGCCGCATCGGCATCGGCGCCCAGATGACCGGTCTCGCGCTCGGTGCGTGGGAGAACGCGGTCAAGTACGTGTGGAACGACCGCAAGCAGTTTGGCCAGCTCGTCGGTGAGTTCCAGGGCATGCAGCACCAGATCGCCCAGTCCTACACCGAGATCGCCGCCGCGCGCGCGCTCGTCTACAACGCCGCCCGCAAGAAGGAAGCCGGCGAGGATTTCGTCATGGACGCCGCCATGGCCAAGCTTTACGCTTCCCAGGTCGCCGGCCGCGTCTCCGGTCTCGCTGTCGAGTGGATGGGCGGCATGGGCTTCGTCCGTGAGGGCCTTGCTGAGAAGTTCTTCCGTGACAGCAAGATCGGTGCCATTTACGAGGGTACCAGCAACATCCAGCTTAACACTATTGCCAAGACCCTCCAGAAGCAGTACACTGCTTAAGATGGCGGGTTGACTGTCGATGTGTGTTTTGATGGTAGTGTTATATAAGGGTGTGCATGTGCATATTGGTTAGGATATCATGGAGTTAAGGGGATGCCGAATTTCAAAAGGGGCAGGAAGCACCTTGTCATGATCTAGAATATTCAGCAAGCCATTTTTTCGATTACTCATTCCGGTTTCTTTCTGATTTTCTTGATTTTTCGGTTTTCTTTACATGACTTGGGAGCCGTGCGAGATGCGATGATCCGTCGTACATTGATCTGGCTGGCAATGTCCATGAGACATGGGAGTTTGATCGAACGCAACATCCACAGTGCTCCGTCAACATATGCAACAAGTACTTACCTGACGCCGGTTTGCTGTCATTCATCCTGCGATATGTGCCTACGGATACTGACATGCCTTTGGCGCGCGCAACTAGTCTTCAAAGTGATTCCACTCGAGGATAACCGAGGACGAAGCCGATGGAAAGTTGACGGGTCTCTTGATATTCGAACTCCTCGTCATCTACAACTCTTTCCGGTTTATAAACCAGCCGTTTGGCTCACCCCTTAAGTCCTACATCCCTGCATTCTCAAACCTGACTTCGGTCATGAGTTTCCGGAGCTTCGTTCACTACAAGTATCGAATCTCTACTGTGTCATTCGGGTAGGAAACCAGTCGAGTCTTGGGACGAAATCCAGCTTCTTCGGCTTGGACAATTTCCAGCTTATTTATCCCTAACCCGCAACCCATCACATTAGTGTAGTGTAGGTATGCATCCTAAGACATGGATGGGCACACCATGACCGCCTTTCCTGTCGAGACTCCAAATGGGGTTTGTCTCCTCTGTCTCAAGTCGCCGTCATCATTGCCTAAATACTTGCACATCAGGACTTTTTCGGGCCATGGCGTTCTCAAAAGTCAGGCGGTTAACATGTGAGGTCTTTATACACAGATCAACCTTTGAGATTTGTTAGTGCGAAACCTACAACGTCTTCTGACAAGGCAGAAAGAGGACATGATTTTCCGGCGGTTCTATTGGTCCAAACCGAGCTAGAGTCAGAGGTTATGAACAACAATTAATGGTGTCCCCTACATATCGCACCAAGACTGTACTTATAGCGAGCAACAAGCAGGAATGGCCCCTACCTCTAGCCATCTTTAAAGTGGTGAAAGACTTTGAAAGTGCCGTGCTAACAGACTTTTCGAGGGTGAACTGTCGACGGGTGAAAGAAAGTCGACTGCGTGATCAAGGTCCCCAAAGTGTGATTCGGCATGCCCAATCACAGCCCTCCAAACTCAAGCGGTTCAAGGTGCGCCACCAACTGAACTCAAGTGCACGTACCCGTTTCGATACCTACTACGCCCACTGACACCCCTCGGTCTCCGGGCTTCCAATCCCATATCCCAAGTGAGTGCGGAAGGGAAGTCCTACCAACGCCCTGCACCACCAGTTCAACAGTCCTACGGTACGGTATCAGCGCACCAGGCAGACCAAGGCCATCCACTCCCGTCGTGACGGTGTCGTATAGGTATCGATGTGTGGAGGTGCCCATCTCCTGTTCGGGTAGTCATTGCCTGTGGCTGCCCAACAGTCTGTCTGTGTGAGCTGTGCGTGACATGCAAACAAAAGGGTTCCATTCCAAGAGGGTCGCTGCTGTTAGTGTTGTTGACTGTTTGAAAATGCGCCGATTCGGAACCATCTGATGCCAAGACGAGGCTATCGTAGATTTTTGTTAGTCCCCAAGAACCACACCCCTTTGGATGATGGGGTGGTAAAGAACACTGCATGGAATGGGCTCGTCGCGCGTAAATTCAAAGAAGAAACGGTGACTGTTGGCCTCGAGATTTCCCGCTTGAGTAGTATATGCGGTTGCCGTATATCTCAAGGTGTATTTCATTGTTCTAGTGATAATGGAAATACTAAAGAATGAAAGACACCTAGCGGGCGAGGTACCTGACTGGGAACCGGAAGTCCAGTCGACAAATGGAAGTGTTGGATCAAAACCACGCGATCCCCGCCTCTTCAAGGGGAAAAGTGGACGTTGCTAACAAGGAAGTGACCTGCCCGCCTTTGCCCCGAACTGCCTGTGCGTACTTCGACCGCTCAGCGTGCAGTACCAGGCATCGTCGTCTTCCGTCTGGATGCCCACTGGCTGTTTGGCTCGTCGAATCGACAAGGGCCGCCGCCGCCAAACCTATGCGAAACACACAAAACCCCGCCATCGTTAGCATCATACCTCTCTCTGCAGTACCTGCTAATCTGAGCCTTTCCATCTTGCACATTGAAGCCTCCTCGTTCAGTCGAAAAAGGCAAAACCCGCCTTTTCTCTCTGTTAATGCTAATTGCTGCCCCGCCGCCACTATCTCCTCCATTACCTGCCTACCTACCCGACGTCTAGGTCCGGGCCAGCAGCGTAGCACTCCAATCAGTGTCTGCCTTATAAAGTGTCCATAGCACCTAGAGGTACCCTCGACCTCCATCCCTCCCTCCTGGCTGGACCTCCTTATCCGTCCTCGCTGCCAAGTTGCCTTTTTGGCTCGCCTCGCCTTCCACCCGGGAAGTGCTCAACTGAACCGTCCATCACCAACCACCACGACGCATCCGTTGCATGTCATACTGGCATGCCAGCAGCATTTTAGTCGTCCGGATCACATCCCGTCGTCCTCCCTCTCCTTCCCCCCCTCCCCCGCTCTTCCACTGCCGACACCGACTCCGACCCCGTCACCATCGGACATTAGTATTGCCAGGAGCATCTTTACCTTTCATCCTCTCCAAGTGATCCATCTTCCACCGTCGCCATCGGTCCGCCGGGCCCAATACCGCCACCATGAACGACGAAGACAAGGTCCACGACATCTCCAAGAAGATCGAGCGCGAAAAGGCTTTGATCAATGCTGCGCAGGCCATGCGCCAGCAGACAAACAATGAGCAGGTCCGCTCCAAGCTCGACACCCAGATGCGCGAAGGGAGGAGGAATCTCGAGTTCTTCGAGGAGAAGCTGCGCGAACTGCAGATGAGGAGACTCGGCCATGGCGTCGACAACATGTCGCTCGGTGCCAGCCCAATGTCCGGCTCCCACCGACAGTCCGTCGACGACTTCGAGGGCTACGGCGCCCCCTCTCCTCCTCCCAAGGAGGACGTACGCGGCCACAGCTCTCACCAGAGTCAGGGCAGCGGTCCTCTGATGCCCACCTCTGCTCCTTATCCCGGTGGTCCTCCTGACTCTACTGTTCCACGGGCGCGTCCTAATTACACGAGGCTCGGTAAGTTGAACATCTTCCTTGGACCAGTCTCCTTTTAGATATATTCCGTGTAACTGACGTTGAGGGAACTACAGATCTAATCAAGTTCGATACCCCACATCTTGGACCTCGCATCCAGCTGATGTTGTCCCAAATTCAGTTCAAGCTCAACGTGGAAGAACAGTACCTAAAGGGCATTGAGAAGATGGTACAGCTCTATCAGATGGAAGGTGATAAGAAGAGCAAGCTTGACGCTGCCGCCAAGCGTGTCGAAAGTAAACAAAAGATTGTCCTCTTGAAGCAGGCACTCAAGAGATATGAAGAGTTGCACATCGACATCGATGTTGATGGTCCAGATGGTAGAATTCCTCCCCTTCATGCTGCTTTCACCAGTACTCCTTTTACTAATTTTTAATTCAACCTATAGACGACAGCATCAACCTGCCAGCCCTTAGGAAACCCCTGAGCGGTACTCTTTCTATTCGCATTCTGGCTGTAAAGGATGTCGACCATGCGCCCCTCGGTCGTTTCGCTCGCTCCCCCGAAACATTCATCGCTGTTAAGGCCGAAGATATAGTTGTCGCGCGCACAAAGCCTTCGCGAAACGACAAGTGGGAAGCCGAATTCCACACTTTCCCGGTCGATAAGACGAACGAAATCGAGTTTACGGTTTATGATAAGCCCGCCGAGCATCCCGTGCCTATCGCCATGCTCTGGGTCCGAATTTCGGACATCGTCGAGGAACTTCGCCGAAAGAAGATCGAAGCCGAAATGACGTCCGCAGGTTGGGTTTCGGCAGACCGCGTTGGCTCCAGAGCTCCTCCGCCGCAATTCCCAATGGGCGCCCAGAGTCCTCAGTTTGCGGCACCGCCAACATCCCCTGGATCACAGGAGCAAAACACCATGATCCCACCCCAGGCGCCTCCGCCATCCCAAGTTGTTTCACAGCCTGTAGACGGTTGGTTCAACCTGGAGCCTTATGGCCAGATCCACCTCAGTTTCAACTTCATCAAGGGGGCTCGTCCTCAGGGCATGGACAGGCTGGGTCGCAAGGGTGCCGTCCGCCAGCGCAAGGAGGAAGTCCACGAGATGTATGGACACAAGTTTGTCCAGAAGCAGTTCTACAACATTATGCGCTGTGCGCTATGCGGCGATTTCCTCAAGTACTCCGCTGGTATGCAGTGCGAGGATTGCAAGTACACTTGCCACACCAAGTGCTACACCAGCGTTGTTACCAAGTGCATCAGCAAGAGTAATGCCGAGACTGATCCTGACGAGGAAAAGATCAATCACCGTATCCCTCATCGCTTTATTCCTTTCTCCAACCTTACCGCCAACTGGTGCTGCCATTGCGGTTACATGCTACCAATTGGATCCAAGAAGAACTCGAGGAAATGCTCAGGTATGTTTAGTTCGCCCCTGTTTTGGAGGCCGATATGCTGACAATTGTGACAGAATGTGCTCTTACAGCCCACGCGCAATGCGTGCATCTTGTTCCTGACTTCTGTGGCATGTCTATGGCTGTCGCCAACCAGATCTTGGAGGGTATGCGAACGCAGAAGAAGACTCATAAGGATAAGGCGTCCTCGATGAGTGAGCGTACCCTTAGGCCGGGAAGCAAAACTTCCATCTCGTCCGGGTCGATCGCTCAGGCATCAACGTATAGCGGTTCGACTGCTTATACGTCAATCGCTTCGCCTGAGGCAACCGAGGCTGCCAAACTCATGTACAGCCAGACAACGCCCAGGCCAGTCGGCCCCGACAGGACCTCTACCAGCTCAACAACCGCCTCGGCGGCTGCGGCTGCGGCTATGGCACCAAAGCATAGCTCTCAGCCTTCGCAAGCCGGTTCGATACCCGACTTTGGTGGTTCCCCCGGCTATGGACGACCGGATTCTCGGGACGACGAGTACTCCGCCCAGCAGCAGCAGGGATATGGCTCGCCGCAGCAACGGAAGTATAACCCGGCGGACTATGCTAATATCGACGCCTACTCAAGCCCACCTCAGGCTCGTCCCCAACAGCAACAGCAGCAGCAACAACAGACACCTCAGCAGGTCTCACCAATGTATCAGCAGAATCCTCAGACGCCTATTAGCAAGCCTCAGCCTGTGACGCCATCCTATGATAACCAGGTGGTACCGTCCGCCTCCGGAGTTCCAGTTCCGACTAAGAAGCCGCTACCATCGGCCACTGACCCCGGCACGGGTATGAGAATCGGCCTTGACCATTTCAACTTCCTCGCTGTGCTTGGTAAGGGTAACTTCGGCAAGGTCATGCTTGCGGAGACCAAGAAGAGCCGGAAGTTGTATGCCATTAAGGTGTTGAAGAAGGAGTTTATCATCGAGAATGACGAAGTGGAAAGCATCAGGTCGGAGAAGCGCGTCTTCCTGATTGCCAACCGCGAGCGTCACCCCTTCCTGACAAACCTCCATGCCTGCTTCCAGACTGAGACAAGGGTCTACTTCGTCATGGAGTATATCAGCGGTGGTGATTTGATGTTGCACATTCAGCGTGGAATGTTTGGCACCAAGCGTGCTCAGTAAGTTCTTCTTTGTATCTTCTGAAGTTACAGCAGTGACTAACTCGGTTCAGATTCTATGCCGCTGAGGTCTGCTTGGCACTCAAGTATTTCCACGAGAACGGCGTCATCTATCGTGATCTGAAGCTCGACAACATTCTCTTGACTCTTGACGGACACATCAAGATTGCCGACTACGGTCTGTGCAAGGAGGACATGTGGTACGGTTCGACCACGAGCACCTTCTGCGGTACTCCCGAATTTATGGCGCCCGAGATTCTCCTGGACAAGAAGTACGGCAGGGCGGTTGACTGGTGGGCATTTGGCGTTCTGATCTATCAGATGCTTCTCCAGCAGTCCCCATTCCGTGGTGAAGACGAGGACGAAATCTACGATGCCATTCTGGCCGACGAGCCGCTTTACCCTATTCACATGCCCAGAGACAGCGTGTCGATTCTGCAGAAGCTCCTCACGCGCGAGCCTGACCAGCGTCTGGGTAGCGGCCCAACCGACGCCCAGGAGATCATGTCGCAGCCCTTCTTCAGGAACATCAACTGGGACGACATCTACCACAAACGGGTGCAGCCGCCCTTCCTGCCCCAGATCAAGAGCGCGACGGATACGAGCAACTTCGATAGCGAGTTTACTAGTGTCACTCCGGTGCTCACACCCGTTCAGTCAGGTAAGTTTTATCACATCAGAACCCAACTAGGCAACTTTCTCGTAACTAACCCCGTCCGTTTGTATAGTCCTCTCTCAAGCCATGCAAGAAGAGTTCAGAGGCTTCTCGTACACGGCCGACTTTGAGTAAACAACCTAGCGTTGTCTCGTCTGTTCAAGTCGATTGGCGGTGTGCTAGTATTGTTGGAGGATGATGAACACGTACCAAAGTTGGGTGCGCGGCGAGCAACGTAGTGTGGTGATGCTATAAAAAGGAGAAGAATTGAAACCACAAGGCGGCACCAAGGTTGTGGTGTGGGTTGAAGGTTGAGAAGAGGATCTAATAGTTATTGAACAATACTTAACCTATAGAAAGAGAAAGAAGAACAAGCGAAATGATAAAGCCTTTCGATTCGGGGGGGGGGGTTTGGAAGTTTAGACTCGAGGTTGCACGAAAGAGAAGGTTTAGTTGCTTTTCGCTTTGGTTGAACACTGGTTCGGGCTTTTTACTTAGATCTTGAAGTCAGCGTTGTTTGAGATACCATGATGGAAGAGTTTGCTATTAAGGGGTTGTTCGGTGTGTATTGTACACTAGAAGAGTAGGTAGTGGTAGCTTGTCTTCCTCTTCAGTCTAAACCCTCCCCATTTTTTTTTTTTTTTTCGTCTCTTTGTCTTCTCAAAATTGCCGTCGATTAAATACGATGTGAGGATGGCCAATGTATACAAGAAGAAACGTCTGTCTATATACATCATCATTCATCATATATAAGATATAGATATAAAACAAATAAAAGAAGAAGTCATGCTGCAACAACAACACCAGCTTACAACCGATCATACAACAACATACAACCGCAACCGAGCAACCAGCGTTCTAGTAAAAAGCCCGCTCCCTTGCTTCCCTTCCAATGCAGCTATAATCTTTTTTTGAGACACACACACGACAACACGAAAACCCCCCCAAAGGCTCTAATCTATTTGTTAAAGAGAAGAAGGAAAATCATAATAGACCGAATCAAGCCTTCCCGCTTCCACTGCTGCGCAAAACAAAAAATGCGACGCTGGCAACCACGGCCGCACCCGTCGCCGCGCTCTCCAGGGCCAGCAGCGACACGTCCCGCATCTTGAGATCTATCCTCCTGTCGCTGTAGAGGTCGACGACGGCGGCCTTGATTTGTTGAGGGTCTGAGAGCGTTTGTTGCCATTTTTGGGCGGTTTGCTTCCACGTTAGTGGTGGTTGTTGCGATTCTTCTTGTGTCTCTGGTGTTTGGTGTTGTTGTTGTTGGGCGGTGGCAGCCTCTTCCGCAGCCTCCTCGGCGGCGGCGGCCATGAACTCTGCGCCAATGTCCATCTCGACTTCTCCTTCATTTCTTCCTCCTCCCTGGGATTCCCCAGAAGACGAAGTAGACGCCAACGCCTGAATCTCTCTCTCCTGCTCCATCAACCTCGCCAAATGCGCCGTCTCTCTCAACCCACTCGCCTCCAGCGCCTGCCTTACTTGGCCCAACTCATGTCTGACCTCGTCAATCACACCCTTTTCGTTCTCAGCAATCCCCTTCATCAACCTCTTCCTTCGCCACGGCTCGGCAACGAACTGCAGCACCAGGAAAAGCAAAACGTTGACACCCATCAGTCCCCACGTGCCCCACGTCGACTGCCGCCTGATTCGATCGCTCCAGATCTGTTCCTCGTGGTACCGCTTGAGTATCCCGGCGTTCAAGTCGGCGGACAACCGCGACTCTTCGGTTTCGGCTTCGGTCAACTCCTGCGCTGCTTGCGCTACTTGCGCTTCCAGCTCGTGGTCGAGGCGGTACAGGCTCGTGAAGCGTTCCAGGTCGAGTGGGTTCCACGTATCCTTCCGAGCCAAAAGAGTGGTCACCTCGCGCTGCGTCGATGCCCGATGCATGGTTAAGCTCTTGTAGTTGTGTCGGGCGTCGCGCAAGCGTGACTGGGCCTGCCCGTGGGCAACTTCCAGCTCGGCGTTTTTCCGCTTGATTTGCTCGATGGCTGAGTACCCCGTGAGATCGTTGAGGGTTTGGGTGGCGGTTAGCAGGCGGGTTTGGAAGTTGTCCATTATGGTGGAGAAGCGGGCAGAGAGGCGGGCGCGGTGGGCTTCGGTGCGGGAGGGGAGTTCGGGTTGGGCTGTGTCATTGTTGCCGTTTTCTGTGGTGGTCTCTGATGTAGTAGTAGTCTCGGACGAGTTGGCGCTGTCGCTGGTGGAAGCGCTGGACACGTCGGACTCGGAAGATTTGGAGGTTTCGGACTCGGAAGCAGCTGTGGGTGTTTCTGTTTCGGACTTGTTGGTGGCATCGGTGGTGTCTTCTTTGGCTGACCCTGACGACGGGGCCTCGGTCTGCGCCGGGGGAGGTGGTGGCATGAAAATGACATTGGAGGATTCGGTCTCCTTGTTGTTCTTATTCTCGGGGGTGTCTTTGGGAGGTTGGGTCGAGAAGAAAAGACGGCCGTCGTGGATGGATAGGCGAAGCGTGCCCTGGCGCATACCGCTTATCGAGGGGTTTATCGATCTTCGTGGTAGGGAAGCGAGTTGGGAGAGAGGACGACCGGATGATAATGCGCCGGTGCCCCTCCAAGAGGAAGGGCGCGCAGCTAGTCGGATAGCTGTAGTGGAGGACATTGTGTATCCTATGTGTTTGAGAGAGTCAGAGAGAGAGAGAGAGAGAGTCGGTTGCCCAACCCAGACCAGACGGGGCGGAGAGAGAAGGAGATCTGGGTCAGTTGCAACGATGTTCGGCGGTTGATTGCGGTTGAGTGGTGCCAACAATCGCGCGACTTGGGGGACTTGGGGGGGAATTGCCGGCAACTTGAGGAGGAACCGGCAGCCGGAGGAGAGCTGTTGTCGAGCCAATTCCAACTGGTCAATCCCACTTTCTCCCAATTCCATCCCAATTCCACCCAATCGGCCCCACCAAGCTGGACTATTCTGCCGTTCGATATCCCCTCAAGACCCCCTCACCGCCTTGCACATTAAGAGTCTTGGAATAACGTCATTAGACAACCCTAGCCCTTTTTCTTGCTGTTCCCCTTAGCACCCAGGGACTATCCCCGTTTGGGCATCACGACCAAAACAAAACCCCTGAATCCCTCGTCGTTGACAATGACCAAGGGGCCCAAGTCGACGTGATACACTCGTCCGCCGGAAGGGTCCGGCATCACCAGCATGCGGACATCGCACTCCAAGGCGACTCGCAATGACGTTTTCCGTTCTATGTCTGATGCACTCGTCCAAATTCTCCAAGGGTCCGTCGCCCGGTAGTCCGGGAGTTGTCGCCCGTCCCTCTGCCTTGACTCCCCGGTTGTTGAGGCCTTCATCATGGCTTTTCTCTTCCTTTCAATATTGCTGCGTTTGAGACCCAAAGCTCATGGATTTTCCCTTGGCTTGAAAGAAAAAAAATCTCTTTCGGCAACTTCCATCCGGTTTTCCTTTCCGTCTCTTTGCGGACATCATTGAACTCTCAACCTATCCTTTGATATTTGCTCATACTTTCACTTAGGGAATGCAGTTCACCCGTTTCTTCATGCTGCAAGCCGCGTTGGCCGCAGCTCAGCTCCCAGCGTCTGGAGATGATGACACATCAAGCAGAGGCACTGGCAATGCCTTGGCTGGAAGAGCGGAAGGAGAACCTGCAGTGACAACGCCTTCGAGTCTGCGCACCCACCACAGCTCGTTGCACACAATTTCAAAAACAGATCCCACCGCTACCGTCTACCAGCGCACAGCAGTAGGAACGGCTATGTCGAACACATCTAGCCCACCCGATCCAGAAGCCGACCTTCCCGTAGGATCTACAGGGGTAGGTGATGAAGGGTTTGAAGGAGGATCACCACAGTTTCTGGAGTCAAATCAACCGGTTCCAGGTCTAGCACCAGTCCAGCGAGAGACAGCACCTGCGGAAGTTCTTGTTCAGTCTCCGGAGCAGGCCGCGTCACCTCCAATGGAGACGACCGGAGTCTTCACCTCGGTTTCCCCGAGCAGCACCATCGCTACAACAACGGACGTTGTTTCTAATATTCCCACGTTTTACGAAAATTTCGCTCCCATCCCCGTCGAAGACCCGGCACTCACACCTACGGTAATTCCATCTTCAGCTGAGGCCACCAAAGCAGCTATTCTCGCCTTCGCAGAGTCTTCATCTCAGGTCTCAGACATACAATCACTATCTACGTCAACATCCGACCCCAACCCTAGCTCTACAAGCACCTCGCCATCTGATACGGCAGTAACCGAAACCGCCATCCCAGCATCTTCAATTACCTTTTCCTCGGTCATCACATCATCTACCGACTCTGCTCGCGGATTTGTCGTATTGGCCACGGACTCCTCCTCCTCCTCCTCCTCTTTTTCATCAGCATCTTCTTCACTCCCCTCCTCACTCACAACCCCATCACCAACCCCCTCCTCATCTCTTTCCTCCACTACCTCTACCACCACCACCACCACTGATCAACCTGCAATGGCCTCCAACGCCGATATTGACGCCTCCCTGCAAGAAAAGACTGCATCTTACCCCCCTTCCTCCAACGAGTACCTCTCCTCCCAAGCAAAAGTCGCCATCATACTCGTCTCAGTATTCGGGGTATTAGCCGTCATGACAGTCATTGGCTATGTACTTTGGCACGTGAGGATGCGGGATGCGCGGTTGGAGCGGCAGAATCGAGCGGCATTGGCGCGGAGGATTCAGGGTGGTGGTGGTGGGAAGGAAGGAAACGGAGCACAAGGGCATAAGAGAAACCTGAGCGTGGAAGAAAAGATGAAGCAAGCATTGGAGAGGGAACATGACGTCCCGCTGGGTGTTGGGAAAATCCAGGCTGAGGAGCATGGAAACCCCACGGATGGGAGAGCTGTGAATCTGTTCAGTACTATCAGTACTATTAGCGAGAGCAGTGAGGAGAGCGAGGACAGCCAGGGAAGCGGAAGTCAGCGTTCCTACGGGAACAATGGGCGTTTGGCTGTTGTGGCGGCGCCCATGGTTCCGGAGGACAGCGATATGGCTACCTCTATGGCAAATCGCAACGAGGCTAGTGACGGTTACGGACTTGGGAGGAGCGACAGCCAGGATAGCAAGGAAAGTTACTATAGTGAGGGCGGTCAAGATGGATTTGGGAGGAGCGAGACTTTGGATGCACAGCGACGTCGGTATGTGCATGAAAGAAGCGAAAGCCTGCGCAGCCAATGGAGCAATATCGAAGACTACTATAGGATAGAGAGGTTGGAAACGGAGGCACAAGGCGGTGCCGAAACATTAGAGTCAGAGGAGACGTTTGGGAGGACGGAGTCGAATGCCTCGACGTCGTCGGGCCGGTCAGGAAGGACTATTGGAAAGGCACTTTGAGTTAAGTGTGCAGAATGACAAATATTGAGACAAGAGACTTTCCGAATCATGTCGTCAAGTGATCTTCAGACGGCTGTGCTATTGTGAGAGGGAAGGATTGTGCTTGATCTCGAAACTATTTGAACAGATTCCGGGCTTGAAAAAGTGAGTCTACAGCTGCGGTTGATGCTCACCTGTGACTGGATGTGAATGCCAACGTTAGAGCAGCAAAGATCTCAAGTATTGTTTATCATCAGAGGTACTTAACTAGCCACAGTAATAAATCGAAAGGAAAAGACAAAAATAATCAAGTACACACGTTTAACAGCCCCAATCTATCCAACCTCCTCGAAGATACGCGAATACTTTCCTCATCGGTAACCACCCATTTATATCAGCCAATGCCACATTACAAGCCCCGTCTCTCCAAAGCTGCCGAGCCGATTAATCTTGGCCAGTTGAAGGTTCTGACCTTGTCAGTCATCCATTCTAAAGCCTGTTCCATGACCTGTTCAACTGCGTCTCCCGCCGCTCGTCTCCCCGAACCCCAAGTGTTGCCATTCCTCGGCAGGTTAGGGAATTCCTCTTCACAGAGCACATCAAAACGATTGTGGGACTGACTAGACTGTTGAGTACCTCGGTGACGGTCACGAGGCTCATGTCTTGTCCGACCCCGGTCACTGCGTGACCTTTTCCAGTGACTTCCGAGAGAGATGTTGTAGGACTTCTCTCTGAACGACGCCTCGACTGCTTTTTCATTGATCTTGACAATGCGTTCAAGGTCCTCACCGAAATGGGGTAGAGAATACAAGCGATCCACCTGCTCACGAACTCCTTGATCATCGAGTAGTTGGTAATCAGTATCCCCTGAGGCAATGGCTTTGCTGAGGGCCTCCACCTTCTCAAGGTGTTCGGCTCTATACTTCTCGAGATTTTCCAGGGCGTCTTTGCGTCCTCCACTGTCGACTTTGAGCCGCTCCTGGTTAATGAGATGGTCGACGTACTCGACTGTTGCGTCATTGTAGGGCTCGATAGCATGACGCTTCAGGAAGAACCCAAACTGAATTGTTGCCTCTTGAACCTGTGCATATTCGAGCTTGTACTCCTCAATCGCCTTCTTCTTGATATCGATGGCCTTTTGCTTCAGTTCAAGTTCGGTGCCTCGTTTAAGCAGATCATTGGCAACTGTTTTGTCCTGGAACTTGTAGGTCCTGGAGCGGTAGTCGTAATAGATGTGCATGTGATCCATGTAATTGTGATTGCAAACATTGCAGAATCCGTTGGGGCCCATTGATGCACACTTTTTCAGACCCTCGTGCCCTTTAGTGTTTCTCTTCACATGTATCTCTTTAAGATAACAGGGTTTGTGGCACATGGTTTTGTAGACCACCGTCGTCTCGTTGGTTCCTTGAACACCGCTCCGAACTTCGACGCATCTGCGATGCGTACAGACTGTGCGAGGTTGTCCAACTTCATATGACTCGACGGTATCCCGTTGGACGTACAGACTCTTCACAAGCTCATCCCTTGAAAGCTCTGCCGTGCGAAGTTCCATGATAGCATCGTGATTGGCGGCAATGCTGCTGGCGATCTTTTGCGTAATGCGTGCCATTGGCTCTGTCAACTTCACGATGATGTCGCGAGTTTCGTTCAGGTTGACCGTGCTGCGTACATTATGCGGTTCGAGGACTTTCAAGTAGTCAAGAAGACGCCTGCATTCAGCGACAGAATAGTCCCAGCTTCGGGCATTATCCTCAAAAAGGCCCATGTCAACCCCCTTTTTCCGAGCTGCAAGGTAGCGAAAACTCTCGGAGTCAAAACAGTAGACATTGTGCTCGTAGAGCCCAAGCTTGACCGTTTTGTAGTTGTTCAAGAGCGTCTCAAGAGGCTTGAATGTGTCGCCAGGCTTGTAGTTGGAGCCCCGAGTGTTAGTAAAGCCGAAGACGATGTTGGTGGCTGCATTTCGATGAAGTTGGGTCAACAATTCTTTGATGCAGAACCGAAACATGACTGTCAGTCGGGAAGCGTTTGGCTTGAGAAGGATGAGGATTCCGTGAAGTGTCTTGTACTTGCGAAGCACTGCCAGTATGTCGGCCATGTTCTTCTTGTCTTGGCTTAGACCTCTGGTGTCGCCAATACCCGGCGTATCAATGAGACGGACCCTCGTCTGGTCAATGTCAACAGTGTAAACGTTCGTCGACTGTGTAGCCGACTGCCCACGGGCTCCATCATGTTCATCCTGACTGATTCCCATTCTGATATCCTTTTGGACAAATCTCCCGCTTGCATCTGATTCGTCTTTCAGCTGGGTGCTGAAGGAAAAGGGTATCAAACACTTCAAGGCCTCTGCCTCAATTGCGTCTTGGAGAGCGCCGAACTGCAAGTAATTTGCGAATGCGTTGATCCAAGTTGACTTCCCCACGCCTGTCTCACCGAGGATCAGGATGTTCAGCTCATCAAAGGGCTTGAGCTCGTCCAGCAGTTGAGCAAGCGTAGATCGATCGTAGGGTGACCAATTCGTCCCGTGTCTCTGATCTTGGCATTTGAAAGTCCAGCGATAGAATGGAGTCGCTCCGCAGTCGCAGTAGAGCCAGTCATCAACATGGCCGTATTCGACGAGACTACAACATGAGGCACAGATCCATTGGCATCGAAGGGACTGGTCGCAAGCAGTATTCGGACAAGAAACCTTTACAGGTCTTCTCCGAACAGGCTTGGTGGTGATGGAGCGGTCCAACGCATCGCTGTCGTACTGCATTGTACAATTCGACATCAATACCTTTCGGTGTTCCAGCAAATCCTCGACCACAACTCGGCCGTTTCGGTAATGGCAGATGTATACCTTGTCCAGCAGTTGCCCAACGGCATCACAATCGACGGCCAGCATCAAAGACTTTTTGTTTTTGTTACCGCAAAGAAGTTCCCTGAATAGGTCGATAGTCTCATGCCCCTCTGGTGTTTGTAATGAGCTGAAGCTGAAGTTCAAGACGAAGGTGTCCTCATGGGATTTGCACAACAGAATCGTTGACAGCATCGGCGATCCGTAACCAAGATATGTTGCGCCCAAGTGGCAGAGATTCTCCGCAAATTCAAGTCTCTTGCTGTCGTTCATCATAGCGCGGAGCGAACCAGGGGATAATTTGTGGTTTCTAGCGTTCATAAGTAGTGTGTGAAGCTGTTCCTCTGTTCCTTTACCATCACGGAAGGCCTGGAGAGCTGTTCCATAGCAGGACTTGAAGGAAAGTTCAGTTGACTGGACCAGTCGAGGTTGACTCATGATGAAGCGGACCTGATCCGGTGGAAGCGCTGTGGAGAATCTCTCGCATCGTGCAGCGAAACGGTTGAAATGCTGTTGTGCGTCAGCCCACTCGTCGAGGGATTGGATGAAGAAATCCAGGTATTTGGCGTTCGGCTGACGGATGATCGACGCTGTATGAACGTCGACAAGATTGAAGAAGGCAAGGAGCGACAAGGGAACGAGCGTATATTGCACTGGATTTCCTCTGCCGTTGTTGGTAGCTGAAAGGCGACCTCGGAGTTTGCCAACAAGGGAGGTAAGAGATTCAGCAGAGACTGGCGTGATCGGTTCACCATCGAGGGCATTGTTGAAAACAGACAGCGTGCAGCCTTTGAATATCTCGCGGTCCTCTTGCTGACGGCGGTTTGGAGCCGGCTCAACGGTGCCATTGGTATCAAGGGCAGCTAACTTGAGACTTTGGAAGTCATCGTCAAGGCAGTGTTGTAAGCGAGAAATGTGGTCGGGTTCTGGGGCTTCTGCATATGCTGTGACAATGAACTGGGCGCCCCAGCTGACACCAACAACGACGTGAGTAGCTTTGGTAGTGGTCAAGACATCGGTGAGGAGGAGTTCTTTGATGCCGCTGGCAGCAAGATTGAGATGTTCCTCGACCGTAGTGATGCTGTAATGGAGAGAAGACTGAGCAAAATGGTCCAAATGTCTGCGTTGATCGATGAGGTAAAGACCACAGTCGCTGACTGGGACAAGACCAGCCAGAATGCTGGCCCCAAGCTCAGGGCTAATGCCAAGTTCAACAAGCTTCTGGTGGAAGGTGACTGCCTTGCTGATATACGCATCCAGGTGGTTGTTGGGCTTCTCTTCCACCACACTGAGTGGGAACTCTTTGAAAAGCGCTTGGGGAAGGAAGGTATCGCTGCGTGCGTCGTAAAGACTCCCCAGGGTAGCCATGCCGCCCAATGCCGGACGTTTGAAGAAGGGCGAGGCCATTGTAGCCGGGGTGAAGAAGGGAGAAAATTGATTTACGATTGCAGAGTTCTAGGTGAAATATGGTTTGAGGTTGATGATCCCAGCGGTGTACAGTTGACCATTTGCTGTGGACAGTCAGCGTTATATATAGGCCGGGAGTGTGGTTGATGTCCCGAGTCTGGACGTTCCCTTGAGGGAACAGACACCGTCTTTACTTTGTAAAAACACAGTGAGACTAGATGGGGAATGTGTAAATCAATACACATATTGGTACCAACCACGTAAAATCCATGAGGAGTGAAATCATTCACATAGGACCAAGCATATTCCATCAAAATCGCTACAAAGGGAACGTCATTCCGAGCATGACTTTCCATATTCCTGGGATTTTGCAACTGCAATTATCCTCCATTGAGGGCGAAGACCTTGCTGTTGCGTTTGCTTCCGTTTGGCCAAACAAATGACAGCCCAGGAATTGGACATGGCGTCGTGGGTTCAGAATGACTTCGGATATCAACCCGACTGATATGCAAGAGGCCCCAATTGCCGGGGTGGGTAAGCCAAGGACAGGCGAAATCTCTGACGAGACTTTCGTGATCCCGCATCACAAACAGATCGAGCGGAGTGACGGCTGAGGATTTTCCATTCACACACAGAGAATAGTGACAGGAAAATGCTCCCGTCCGTGTCCCACTTCCCTCCAAACGCCGGCAGAGTCAAAGTTTCCTGTTGTTCCTGAAATCCAGAGGGATACAAGCATGTTGAGAATGGGGAACAGGATCGAGCATGCGCGGTCGGGGTGATTGAAGGAAAATCACAGCTAGGTAGTGTGCAGTGCCTTGACCACTCAGCTATGTTGACTTGTTGTTGCGGTGTCTGAAAAAGAAGGGTCCTTTGAAAGTTTTGGAAGGTAAACAAGTCAAGTATCGAAGACCCCGGTCTGATTGATAAAGGAGATATGACTGTACGTAGCCATAAGGAAGGCGTCTACGCAGTCAAGCGGTTTGGAATATCGCAGGTATGAGCTCTCGGCCTTGAACACAGCAGATTAGTTCAAACTTTCTCAATGGTCAATCAGTGACGGGATGCCATTTTGATCAAACGCTCTTCAGCCAGCCATAACAACATTCAGAAGTCCTCTTCACGACTGAGCCTGGACATCCCTTCCCCCAGACTTCAGCCCCTCAACAACTTGCTTCAACCACCAAGTATGTATCCTGACATCATCCGTAAGTTCGGGGTGGAAACTCGTTCCGAAAACGTTGCCCTGCCGCACGGCAACAATGTCTTCGCCTTCTCCTGTCCCTTGTGGCTTTGGGTAAGTCCCCATTACCTCCACCTGATTTCCCTTTAGCTTGGCAACCTCATCAACCTCAGCGGTACCAGGACCAGAACTGATAATCTCCTCCACAACCGGTGCGCGGATAAACACTCCCCTGAAGGGCTCCCCTTCTTCCAGGAAAGGCAACCGCAAATCTCCCACAAAACTCTGGAGCTGTGTGCCGTAGCGGTTTCTGAGGACTTTGACGTCCAGCCCACCAATGAGTTCTTGTCCGCCTTGTTTGGTTGCTGAGGCGGCGGAGGCGAGCATGACTAGGCCGGCGCAGGTGCCCCATGTTGGTTTGTGTTGAACTCTGTAGTGGTGGTGGGAGAGGTTAGCGATTTTACCCTTTTTTTTCCCCCTTATGGTTTGTTTGTTTGTTTGTTTTCCATTGGGGGAGACAGGGGAGGGAGCGAATAAAGACTTACTTGACGAATTCGCGGAGCGGATCAAGCAATCCCAGGCGTCTGGCAACGATAGCCATGGTTGTGCTTTCTCCTCCCGGGATAATGAGAGCGTCGCATTGCGAGAGTTGGGCGGCGGTACGGACTTGGATGAAGCTGAATTGTGGTGTCGGTGTCGATGATTGTGACGATAGTTGGGCAGCTGCCTTTTGGAGGAGGGAGATGTGCTCGATCACGCCGCCTTGGAGGGCTAGGACGCCGACTGTTATTTGTTGGGGGGTTACGGCGTCGACGGTCATTGTGTCTGTGTGTCGAAGTAATGTGGTGTTTGGTCCGAAGTGATGTTCTGTTCTGGGTCAATGGGATGAGTGACGACTGTGAGATGTTGATAGGTCTTTTGGCTACACTAGGTGAACGAGTGTACAAAACGGGCGATATCGGAAGGTCCTTGTCAGTGAAGTCTGAAATTTGTGTGGACTTGATGATGACTCTTCTTCGTTCCTGGGTCGGCTACTGTAACTCTGTCGCTAATGAACGTAGGAACAAAAAAAGAAGCCACGAGGGATGTTGATATCACCGAGATGTGTACCAAACCTATGGGCACCGGTTGGCAAAGCCGAATGTAGGCGGCAATGGTCGTATCGTTGGGATAATGGAATTGGTGTTGCCACTCGGGGGGTCTGTGCAATGATCGGGGGCCTGCGGGAGCGGGACGAGCGAGAATCTCCTGGTCTGTTGGTGGGGAGTCACGGCAGTCACAGTCATACACACACGGATCCCCGATCAATCATTGTCCGCGATCTCCCGTCCTCCTTCTCCAAACCTTCCGCGTAAACGCGAAACCCGACCCGGAAGTTTTCTGGGGGAGTCTGATCGGCACGGGAGGAGGTCCGTAAACCGGGACTGACTCGCTGTGTGAGAGCGTAGATCGGTATTGATTGCAAATTTTGGACTTGCCTCAGCGAATGTGTACCGCTGAATCACGTTCATGTCGGGGATTTATCTTCAACTTTACAAGCCACGGGAATTGTATTGTTCGATGTGTCTGGATGCTACGTTAAGTGCCGGCCTAGTAGTTCTTCTGTGGTGTAATTGGCTGTAAAGCATGGGGATAAATCCGACTTGAGTGAAAGTTTGCGGTATCCTGGTTCTCATGTGGTGTGCACTTGCCCCTCCAAGGCGAGCTCTTTTCTTGCCATTGCCAAGCTTCCAAGCAAGGAATAAGCGACGGAACCTGGAATGTTCGAGGGAAACATCCATTCAGCATCGAGGAAGAGCAAGCGAGGTTGAAGATAAGCGCGGGGTTACAGAAAATTTTCTAATCATGCAGGAACGATGCTTATTCAAACCTTTGTGCCTTCACTTTGCGTCTTCTATCCCAATTGCCAGTCAGTCAGTCAGAGCTGAGACGACAGAAGATGTGAGGCCGACAGATACCCAAAGCGGATATCCCGTTCGCTTTGATTGGCTTCCAACAAGCTCAAAATGAAACAGAAATCGATCGACGCCGGAAGGTTGACTGCCAAAACAAATGCAAAAAAGTGAATCGAGTTTGTCGAGTGTCGAGTGTTGGGCTAGAGAAATGACTAATACTTGTATACCACACAGTATGACTCCTATATGGATCCGAAGCGAAATACTATGTACTCGCGGGCAACACCGGGATCAACGGCTCTCAGACGTCCTCCTCTCGATCGAATCCACAACAATTTCTATTTCATACTGCAACGCTGTTTTCTTGTACAACGGGACTTGCCATGTTGCCCACACTACTGCAGTGCCCGTGGGGAAACAATGTGGGATGTCTTTCCTGGGCGAGGAAACTGTGAGGGTGTTGAAGGTCCAGATCGTCCGGTTTCGCCGCACATGGGTACCAAGACCTTCCTTTCTCATTCAGTGGATCGTATGTACGTACGTACCGAGGTACCTTTTTTCCCTCTCGAGCCCCTCCCTACACTCCCCGGTATGATCTGAGTCATCACGTAATGTCATTGCGCTTCAAAAAGTCTATTTCCACGACCTGTGCCCGTGACCAGTTGTTGTGATAGAAACAAAATAATCCAAGCACAAAACAAACCTAAGCTCTCAATTGTGGTTCTGGTTGAATCTATTACACCAACCTCCTCCCCTCTTCCCCTTACCACTCTCTCACGTTACGAGCCTTTTATCCACACATCCATCTCACCTCACAGAGAAACCATTACCACCCTCAAAATGGCCTCCACATCCACCACCAACGGCGACTCCTTCACCGTCAAGGCCGGTCTCGCCCAGATGCTTAAGGGCGGTGTCATCATGGACGTCACCACCCCCGCCGAGGCTCGCATCGCCGAAGAGGCCGGCGCCTGCGCCGTCATGGCTCTCGAGCGCATCCCCTCCGACATCCGCGCCGCCGGCGGCGTAGCGCGCATGTCCAACCCGTCCATGATCAAGGAAATCCAGGCCGCGGTCACCATCCCCGTCATGGCCAAGGCCCGTATCGGCCACGTGACCGAGTGCCGCATCCTGGAGCAGCTGGGCGTCGACTACATCGATGAGAGCGAAGTCTTGACCCCGGCCGATGACACGTACCACGTGCAAAAGGACCAGTTCAAGGCTCCCTTTGTCTGCGGATGCAGGAACTTGGGCGAGGCGCTCAGGAGAATCAAGGAGGGCGCGGCCATGATCAGGACCAAGGGTGAGGCCGGCACGGGAGATGTCGTCGAGGCGGTGAAGCACATCAGGACCGTCAACGCCGAGATTGCTCAGGCTAAGGCGGCGTTGGCCAGTGGTGGTGAGCTGGCGGTGGCCAAGATGGCGAGGGAGATCGGTGCCGATGTTGAGCTCCTCAAGAAGACTGCTGAGCTCGGAAGGCTGCCGGTGGTCAACTTTGCTGCCGGAGGTGTGGCGACGCCCGCGGACGCGGCGCTCATGATGGAGTTTGGGTGCGATGGTGTGTTTGTGGGTAGCGGTATCTTCAAGGATGCCAAGACGCCTGAGCACGCGTTGCAGAGGGCGAGGGCGGTTGTCAAGGCTGTGGCTAACTGGAATGACTATGGTGCGTTGGTTGAGGCGTGCATTGAGCACGGTGAGGCTATGAAGGGTATCAGCAATGCGGGTATGAAGCCCGAGGAGAGAATGGCTGGAAGGGGTTGGTAGAGAGTGTGAGGATGTGGTGATGTTGATAGCATGTTTGATTTATATAAAAGCACAGTCAGAACTAAAAAGGGGCTCGGAACGGCACCCAGGAGATGGTTGAGTTGCAACCCCGAGGAGCTTCTGCCGTTAGTTACACGATATGAATATGATGAGAGAACTGTTCAAGCCATGGCTTTATTACCCAAGTTAATACCAAGAAGTGCTGGCAGAAGAATCTAGTGACCGCCTTGTAACAGTCTATACCGACTCAAGATGAGAGACGTTTGACTCCCCTTTGACCTCTTTTCTTATTTGATTATCCGTTTCTTTTCCCTTTCCATCCCTTATGTGAAATGCCATTGAGAATGGTCTCCCGCTGCCATGGATAGTCCTCGAGGCTTTATTACCCACCTCAACTGTGAAATATTATTTGCAACCTGAATGTCCTCGTAACTGGTAGAGAACAAGAGAAACAAACCCTGATTATAGTACCGCTTGACCCTGGTGCAAAGTCACCGGACAGCATCAAAACAGGTAAATCATAAGCGCTCATACATATGTGTCATGTACCATTAGTCAGACCGCACACGTCTCAACTGTCAAAACTGAAGGTTGCAGTCCTTGCTTCTGCACAACCTCGATCAACACAGCATCAAACCGCGAATCGATCAGAATTGCCAACTCATGTAGCTCTGCCTTGGCTTCTTGAACATCAACCCAAAGCTCTTTCCTCAGTTCTCCGCACCAGGCCCCGGTATACTAGGGCTCTGCATCATCATTATCCGACTCCAAGTTCGGGTCCGGCACCTGCAAGTCCGACGGCAACGGCGGCATCAACTAAGGCTCTGCATCATCATCATCCGATTCCAAGTCCGGGTCCGGCACCTGTAAGTCCGACGGCAACGGCGGCATCATTTCCACATTGGTCGGCTGAAGCGGCGGTGGCTGATGCTCAGGCGGAATGAGCGTATACGGCAAGTTGGTTGGGAGACCCTGAGCAGCCGCATCGGCCGCCGCCTTCCGTTCGTCCTCCCTCTTGATCTTGGCCAACATGTTGCGCACATCGCTCTTCTTGACATACTGGTACTTGTCCCCGAACGAGATGCGAATCCCAATCGTCAGCTGCCTAAGGGTGCACTGGGCGTCGCGGTGCATGATCTTGAGCCAACGGGCGCCGTCCTGCTCGATCTTGCGGAACTGAGCAGGGACGTTGACGCCGGGCTGCTCGCCCGTGAAGGGTTCGTGGTTGTGCTCGGCGCACTGGACGACCACGCGCCACTTGTCGTCGTACGGCCACGCTTTCTCCTGGACGGCCTTCATCTTCATCGGACACCCCGTCTTGGTCGACCGCGATTGTCGAATCCCCCGGCTGTGAGAGGTGTACGTCTTGCCGCCCTTGGAACAGCAGAGGTTGTACCTCCGGTAGTGGCCGTCCGGGTCCCGGTTGAGCGAGGACACAATCACGCAGGCGTAGCCCTGCGACCGCGTGAAGGCTTTGAGGTCCGTCTGGAGCGCTTCAAAGGTGGGATACAAGCGGTCCTGGGGAGGGGGCAGGAGAGCCATTTGGAAGTTGGGCCGGGCCGGCTGTGGTTGCCCTTGGCCGCCGGACGGACCGGGCTGGCCCTGCTGAGCTTGCTGATCATGAAGTTGCTGCTGCTGCTGGGACTGTGGTTGCTGCTGTTGGCCTTGCTGAGTGCCAGTAGCACTTTGGTTCGGGATAGGTTGGAGTTGTTGCTGAGTGTATCCAGCCTGCTGGTGTTGATGGATAGCTGAACTGGCCGCTTGGCCCTGGGGCGGCGGGTTTTGCGGTTGGAAATTGTGGAACTGGTGTAATTGTTGCTGTTGTTGCTGCATTTGCTGTTGCATTTGAGGTTGGGCCGGCTGAGGAGTCATCTGCAGCTGATGCTGCCCGTGTTGGCCCATGGCCGCCGTCTTGGGCTGTCCTCTAGGCATCGTGTGAGATGGGACAATTCGATGAAGACAATTCGATGCTCTGGATGATCACACAATAAACAATATGCGTCTTTAGACTGTGAACGCGCCTCGGCTCGTATGTGACTAGATGCATTACCGCTATTTGCACTTTCGGCTGTGGGTAAATTTCCATATCGTCAGCTGGAGTGGTATCTTATCGGGTTTGTTGCAGCTGTTTGCGGGCCGGCGCACCTTCCACTTCCGCTTTTGTACCCCTGAACGGGGTCCAATGGTTTTCGACTTGTTGGTTGTTCTCACGTTCCTTCCTACTTTATCCATCCTACCATATCGAAGACCAGAGAGGCTGTCCATCGAATGAAATACCTACGAAGCTACTAAATATGTAATGGATTCGATTATTCATCACTGCAGGACCAACATTGCGCTTTGTCATGGGATGTCATCTGTTGTGCAGATGTGATCTGACAGCTGCGTGCAGTGCTGCAATGATGTAAATGTATTCAGGCACCTCGACTGTACCCATCTTCATCTGCTGGACGCTGCTGCATTTGTTGCATCTCGGCGATGGCGAACGCTCTTTTCCCGCAAGCAAACCTTTCATTCAGCATTTCGGGGATTTCAGGACCAAAGAAGCGCTGTTTTCCCTGTCTTGTGTCTTGACTAGACACCACCTTTTTCGTCAAACCTTTTCTGCCTTTGTTTTTCTTGACAACGGCACCTTTTCTGCACCATCTGTCGTTCACGCTGTGACAGGTTTCCTCTGGTGGCCCACACATGCACTGCGGTTACTTGCTAGTTGCAATCCATCCAAACACATGCAAAATCGACATGGTCTACCTCCTACTGTTGGACAGTGAGGGATTCGAAACTTGAATGCTTCTTTTGCAAATACTTTTCACAATGGAACCGACAAGACTGGATGGTTGATGCCATCCTACATTAAAAGGGTGCCACAACCAAGCGGGCATATACGCGACTCTGTCCGTCACAATGCTTTTGTACCTGCGACTGAAAGAGGGGATTTTTTTTTTCAAGCTTTGTATCTTGCATTCTACCATGTCTTTGCAGTATCAACCAGCTTGACTCTTACAAATCTCTCTCTGCAGATACTACCGGTCGGCCAAAGATGGAGCCCAGGACTCTATTTGGATTGATATCACCTGTTTCCGTTTGGCCCAACTTCCGCCCAACACCAAAAAGCCCGAAATTAGGTGTCGAACTGGCTAAAATTCCGGAAAAATTTGAACCAACTTCTCGAGTCGATCTGATTAAAGCTACTCGCTTCCAATGATGCTGACACCAAAGATGTGAAAGAAATGTTGCGGGCACTTGTTCTTTCAAAGAAGCCTGCCACTCTGGGTGAGTTGGCAATTCTCACACGATTAACCATCGATGACGTCCGACAGTCACTTAATAAGTGCAGTCTTTTGGTCAGGATCCAGGACAGAAAGGTTGTTTTTATCCTTGAAAATCAAGTCAAGGAATACCTGTTGAAGAGTTCTGAGAGAGGTTACTTTAGGTCCGAGGAGAAGAGGAGCTGGAATGGCAACACGGCGTCTTGGCATCTAGATGCTTTATCTATCTCGTCGAGAAACTTCAGTCCATAGAACAAGATGTGAAGGTCCGCCAGGGTATAATCAACACTTCTATCCTAGCAACTGCTCTGGAAACGCCCATAAGGAGCTATCTTCGGACACTGATTGACCAGCAACCTCTGATCTTGAGCAGGAAGACTCGCCTCAAGAAGACTATTTGGCCGCGGACGACAGTGACAGCGACGGAGCACATGAAGGGAATGGCCTTTTGACAATGAAGGTGACTTGTCAGCCGAGGCTCCGGTTTGGAGCAGAGCAACCCATACGAGCTGGATCTTACAATATTCCTCCGTTATCCAATCATATACTGGCTCTGCCATTACAGCTTAACCACCAAGAAATTCGCAGAACGAATGAGGAGCGAAGATAGTAAGGAAGGTGAGGAAGGCTAGGAAACTTATAAAGTAGATGACAACGACAAGGAGGGTAACGGGACGGATGACGATGAAGACGGGTACTGATAGGTCGATGTTTTCCATTTCTTGGGTACCGGTTACTGGATCTGGAATCTCCAGACATGAAAAGTTCCATTGACCATTTATTACATGTTGGCCTTAGAGAAAAAATAACCTTGGATATCAAGTTCAAGCTGGATGCCCTCACTGCCCCTTCTCTAGTCTTATAGTAACTCGTCAGGGTTGTGTATGACGAAAGGAAACAAATAAACTTACACAGTAAACCCTCACACTGGGACACTTCGGCGGCCCCACTATTGTCCACCTGTAATTGTATACACATCACCCCTGGAAAGCTCGTTAGCTCGGTACTTATATGGTATTTTGACAGGGGGATGACAAGGGGGGTGACAGGGAGTAAAACCAGTAAAATATAGAAGGTAGTAAGGGGGGCTCTGGGTGATTTAGGCAGTAAAGAAGGTTTGTGTGTGTGTGCTCTGTTTACTCGTTCTCACTTTGAAATCAGGCAGATTCAGCCAATCAGAGCTCGTAGATAGACGTATCCCGCCTTGCAACCCCCCCTGTGAAAGTATGTGGGGCAAGAACCACGCTAACAAACTTTTAAGGGTCAATATGTAATTAGTGCACTGCTGCCCCTGTCTAATGACGACTGTTAGCACATGAAATTGGATGGAAGTCATCGCAACGCGTCCTCTTTTGCGACTTAGCAGCTTCCTTTCCACCAAACAAAGGTGTAGAGGTATCTTCACCGAACACCCCTCGACAAGATGGCCGACACATCAAGTAGGCCAGAATCAAACCCACCCCTCTACAAGCAAGCCCTTGATTTCGCCCTAGATGTCGCCAACGGTCGCCATGCTCTGTCGAAGCTCATCCCGCCCGCTCTCTTCCTGGTTGATGCGTTCCTCTGCGGGCTGATCATCTGGAAAGTGCCTTGTACGTAACCGGTACCGCGGATTGGCGCACAGTTACCAGTTTTCTCACGATCGCATACCATAGACACCGAAATCGACTGGACGGCCTACATGGAGCAAATCTCCCAAATCCTCTCGGGCGAGCGCGACTACACCAAGATCCGCGGCGGCACCGGTCCGCTCGTGTACCCGGCTGCGCACGTCTACATCTACACCGGACTATACCACTTGACGGATGAGGGGAGGAACATATTGCTTGCGCAACAGCTATTTGCGGGTCTTTATATGGTTACGCTGGCGGTTGTTATGGGGTGTTACTGGCAGGCCAAGGTATCTTTCTACAAGTGGCTTTGCGACAATGCTGGTTGGGGGAGAAGCTGACAAAATGAAACCAAAAACAGGCACCACCATATCTCTTCCCGCTCCTGATCCTCTCGAAACGGCTACACAGTATCTTCGTCCTGCGCTGCTTCAACGACTGCTTCGCCGTCCTGTTCCTCTGGCTTGCCATCTTCTTCTTCCAGCGGCGCAACTGGCAAGCCGGCGCATTACTCTACACCCTCGGCCTCGGCGTCAAAATGACGCTACTACTCTCCTTACCAGCCGTAGGCGTTGTCCTCTTCCTCGGCAGTGGCAGTTTTGTCACCACTCTGCAGCTCGCAGCAACAATGGGTCTGGTCCAGGTCCTCATCGGCGTCCCCTTCCTGGCGCACCACCCCACGGAATACCTCTCCCGGGCCTTCGAGCTCTCCCGGCAATTCTTCTTCAAGTGGACCGTCAACTGGCGCTTCGTCGGCGAGGAAATCTTTCTCAGCAAGGGGTTCGCGCTCACACTGCTCGCTTTGCACGTTCTCGTTTTGGGAATCTTCGTTACCACCCGTTGGATCAAACCTGCGCGCAAGTCTCTTGTTCAGCTAATCTCTCCTGTCCTCTTGGCGGGCAAACCGCCTCTAACTGGCCCCGAGCACCGCGCTGCGGCGCGGGATGTGACGCCGAGGTACATCATGACCACGATCCTGTCTGCCAATGCTGTGGGCCTCCTCTTTGCCAGGTCCCTCCACTACCAGTTCTATGCCTATGTCGCATGGTCGACTCCGTTCCTCCTCTGGCGCGCGGGGTTGCACCCTGTCTTGGTGTACCTGCTATGGGCGGTGCAGGAGTGGGCGTGGAACGTGTTTCCTAGCACGCCGGCGAGCTCGGCGGTGGTGGTGGGCGTATTAGGCGTTACGGTCGCAGGAGTGTGGTTCGGCGCACGGGAGGAGTGGGAGCCTGGGATGAAGTCGTCGTCGAAGAAGGAGGAGGCGGTGATGCGGTGATGTAGTTGCTTTGCTGTCTGTAATATTTCTGGCTGGCGATAAAATATTATTTTTGGGTATCTCTGTTCTTCGAATGTCTCCTCAAGGTCCATACTCTTCGTCTTCCGAGTCGCTAGGCGGCAGTTTTCCAACAGTCGATTCCTCGTCTTCGGACTCGTCGTAAGTTTGTCTGACGAACTGCTTGGGCCTGTGTTTTCGTCCGTCAGTCAGCTTTCTCCGTCCAATCCACTGAAGCAACAATGTGACATACCAATAAGCCTCCTTCCTCCAAGCCTTCTCGTCCCTTACGATATTGATGATCTCTCCTACAACCTTGCTACCAGTCTTGCTGCGCTCCTCCATGGAACCCAAGTCGACCAAGACATAACCGCCGCGCTTAATCCAGATGGTGTTGCGAAAACGAGACTCGAGCTCGACTAAAATGGTCTTCTTGTTGGGCAGCTCGCAGATATAGTTGCTGTTGCCCTCGGCCTTGACGACGCGCGCAATGGATTGCGAATCGGTAAGTTGGTCGGGAGGGGTCAGCGACTCCTGGTCGGCGGCGTGAACGTGGCGTTTTGGCTTGCCCATGGTTGCGGATGGTTTGGGTTGTTTGTTGTTTTTGGTATTGCGCAATACTCTGAAGAAAAAATAATTCCAGGCGTAGGAAAGGGGAGCACAGAAATCTAAAGGAAACAACGGTTGATGAAATCATGGATTGGAACTTTTGGAACTTTTGGAATTTGGAGAAAAGTGGGGTAATTTCGATAGATGCATATTCTGTCCATTGGAAAATTACCATGCCTAGGTACCTTACATCTCCATATCCTCCCTCAGCATTTACACGTTGACGAGGCATCTGTATTAAAGTCTCAAGATATCAACGGTTATGAGCGACACCTCTCTTCTAGATAGCCCTCTTCAATTCTATCTATTTGTCTCAAGTTCCTCCAAGCACAACGTCAACAGTTGTAGAAATTCTCTATGACGGCCTAGAATGCCGATCGCCTCCGGCGGTTCACTGAACCACGGATCGGCGCCTTAGCACTCAACAGTGGGTAGCACCCGCCAGAATTGGTCCACTAACATCGGGGATGCGGTGGCCGAGACAAGCCAAAGTTTGAACTCTTTCGGGGTCTCAGACACCGTGCCGATGGGGTCCAACCCTGTGGGATTCAGTCCACTGCCGCGCCGCTTGCTGTGCCGTTGGGCCGCCGCGGGCCCGGTACCGGGGGAGGGGCGTTTCTGTTGGGACCCCCCCGCGCCGACTCATTCCTTTGTTGCCCGTCGACCTCGGACTTCCTCCGGTCTTCACTTGACTTTTTCACTTGACCTCTTTCTTCACCTTTCATTGCTGTACACTTCTCACCTAAATTACCTTCAACACAATCCCAAATACTACTAAACACAGTCAAAATGGGATCCAACGACTCCCCCTCCCTCCCCGCCTTGGCCACCGACTCCAAGTTCATCTTCTTCACCGACTTCGACGGCACCATCACCCAACAAGACAGCAATGACTTCATGACCGACACTCTAGGGTTCGGCCCGGCACTCCGTAAGAAGGGAAACGAGAGCGTCCTCTTCGGCCACCGCGACTTCCGCGACAGCTTCTCGGAGATGCTGGACAGCATCAGCACGCCCTTTGACCAGTGCATAGAGACTCTGCTCAAGAACATCACCCTCGACTCTGGGTTCAAGGAGTTCTTCCACTGGGCCAAGGAGATTAACATGCCGATTGTGATTCTCAGTGGCGGCATGGAGCCTGTGATCAGGGCGCTGTTGGCCCATTTCTTGGGCAAGGAGGAGGCGGATAGTTTGCAGATTGTTAGCAACCAGGTGGCTGTTAGGCCGGGAAAGAAGAGTTTGAATGAGGAGGGAGGGTGGATGATCACTTACCACGATGACAGGTTTGTCACCCCCTTTTTTTTCTCTCTTTTTTCTTCCTGTTTTTGACGACACGGGACAAACACTCACATGGAAAAATACAGCGGATTCGGCCACGACAAGTCCCTCGAAATTCGCCCCTACGCCAACCTGCCCGCCGACCAAAGGCCAGTCCTTTTCTACGCCGGCGATGGCGTCTCGGATCTCTCAGCTGCCAAGGAGACGGACCTTCTCTTTGCAAAGGCTGGAAAGGGTATGTTTTGCAATTCGAACGAATTACCATTCCCATCGCCATTGCCATTGCCATAGTGTTTGCTGACTTGACACACCACACACACACACAGATCTCATCACCTACTGCGAAAAGGAGAACGTGCCCTTCACCACGTTCCACGACTTTACCGAGATCCTCGCTGTGGTCAAGGACATCACCGCGGGCAAGGTGACTGTTAAGGAGGCTGCTGTTGGCAGGAAGTGAGCTAGCTATCCCCTCCACCGAGCGTCTGTCGGTCTGTCTAGTCTTGTTCCTATTCCTTTCGGCTCAGTGTTTTTTTTTCCCCTCTGGACACTATTCTAGACGGTGCACAGGAGTGATTGGTTGGTTGGTTAGTAGCAGGCTACTTATGCCACTTTTCATCCTGATAGAACTCTTAGAAGAAGACAAAATAAGGGAGCGGTTGTTCTTCTGATTGTTATAGACAATAGACGTGTGGGTCATGACTGTCCTCCCACTCCATAATTCGAAGGCGTTGTGTTGCTAGGCAATCCGCAAGGCTCTCTGTCGGGTTCGGGACCTTGACTGAGGCTGAGGAAATCTTGCATAAGGCAACATATGTTGTATCACGGACGTCGTTGCCTGTTGTTTCTCACGGACAGATAAGAGAGGGCAATTGATGGGACCTCGGCTTTTGGCTCTCCAAACCCATGGATTGGAGTAGATTGGTCGGACTGGAGAAGGCTTGGATAGATATCGTCCGCATAGAGGCAGGTGACCTTCTTATAATGAGAAATTTGCAATTGATTGGACGCATTCTAGTTTTCTTGGATATAGCGGAAGGAGCTTTACGAACCAATGCTCGTTACTCCGCATGTCTAGCTGGTGACACATGATAGAAAACATCCCAGTGGCTAGGCTAGGCGTGATATAAAAACACTAGTGCTGTGATGACCCGACTCCCGAAAGCTGACCTTCACTTCCAATTTACCGGTCAACACCTCAATTTCTGCAGAGCTAGTCATCGGCCAACATTTGATAGCATCATGTTGTGTCATCTTCTCGCCCATATGCTTCCATCAGCTAGATCTGCAGCTTCGGAAATCCTCCAAGAGGGTGTAACAGACGCAGACCAAACTACTAGTTTCCCAATACTACTACCGCACTTCTCGCCCAGTGTCCAATCGAGACTTGACAAGGCTATCGCTTACATAGACCAAGCATAATTTCCATGCATGTATACGAGACCTGAAAGAGCGACTGGTGCGCTTCTGGCTTTTGAATTATCGCTCTGGAGTCGAACAGGACGAGCGATGTTGACAAGCCAAACAGAACAAGATAGCCAGGAAAGAAAATCTTGTTTTCTTATCCGAGGCAAAGTAAAGGTACCCCGGATTTACTTTGCGTTGTTTTGTCTGCATCGCCGGAGCGGGATCACTAAAGTCATGCCGCTGACGGTTGGCATATCGCTTTGGTGCTCCCCATGGGGAAACACAGAGTAAGGGGGTGGTGGATTGGCAAACATGCACACCCGTTGTAGGAAACCTCTATAAAGCGAGGGCACCCGGACATCTGACCGCCTAGGTTCTGTGATGTTGGGCCTGAGTACCTTGCTTGCTCGTTTCGTTCCTGTCTTCAGCTACTCAGTTTCAAAATGAGACTTTTCCTCAGCCTTACGGTCCTCATTGCGGTCGCAACAGCTTGCACAATCCCAAGCACACCACTGTCCAACAACATCACCAGCCACTTCCGTGTCCAAGTCCAAAATGCTTCCTATCCTCAAATCCACAACAAGTACATGAACTTGATGGTCTCCGGAGGTGGTGACCGGCACCTGTACGTCGGAGGATCACCGCAAGTGGGTGATACTACTACCAATCTGCTTCTCATCAAGGGTTCGATCAACTGGGTCTCCATCACTGCTGTCATTGGCGGCGAGGTGAGTTTGCCGCAATTCCTATGCAGAAGTCGTCCGTCCAAGTAAGAGTTCGAGTTGACGTCTCCGGACACAGGAATCCAATGTCGACGACACTGTCAAGATGTTCATGACGGAACGCGGCGATCCGAGAGCTCTTTTCCAGCCGACGTACGCTTGCAATCCGGACACCGACAGCTTGCAGGTCGAGTTGCGGTTTGTGGGGAAGCAGAATGCGCCGGCCGGAGGCTGGATTTGTGTGCGGCCATCGTTCGATAACAGTCATGAGTTCCGGTACTATCCTCCGGGAAACACGAGTAAGTTACTGCCTGCCCAGTTGCCGTTCTGTCTTGGAGATTCTGTGACGTGGCTGATTCATTAATCCATGATGAACGACAGAGTCCGATCCGAACCGATTCTGCATCAAAGTAACACTCGTCGCCGTTCCCACATAGAAATGGCTATCGTAAAGATCATCGGAGAGGACGGAAAAATATATCCTGAGGGAAGTTCAGATGATGGTGCGCAAGGCTGGATAAAAATGGATCAGAGGAAGTGGTTGCCCTGGCGATGGGTCCAGATGTTTTGTTTACCCCTGAGGGGATCCACACTGGCCATGGTGTTGTTGAAGTTCAATGTTGTCTCAATTGACTTGTTGCTGCCACGAGTTGGTATAAATTAACACGATTTCCGCGCGGCCGATCTATAATACGTATTCGTTAAAGATCACCAACTAACAACGAAATGAGCAATGAGAAGGCTCTTTGAATACACGTGTGTGATTGAAGCGCAAGTATCCAAGACACCAGAACCTCAGCCCTGAAGCGGCCGAGCGGATGGTGTTCTGGTGACTGCGCCACAGAATGCAAGTAAGCAGCTAGAGCGAACAGCGGACAGTGCTTATGGCGTGCAATGACGTGCGCTGGTGTTGGGCTGACAAGATGCACAAGTCCAAGACACTGTTGTTGTAGCCTTGTCGATTGATGGAAGGGCTGAGACACATTGGAAGCGCATCAACCTAGTCGTTGTTGGTGACAACGATTTGTAAGAAGAGTACCAGGAGGATATGGGGTTGGCATTTGGGATTGTCATACGATCAGACGCAAGTCTCCAGAGTCTCTGAACAAAAGGGAAAAGATTCTTGCGAATCGAGGTCACCATATCCATTCAGCTGAATGGTGGATGGCGGGGTCAATAGGACCCCTAGTCGCCGTTCGCGTCATCGGCGGGACCTGACAAATGGAGACTTTTCTTACATCATCAAAAACGGGACGACGGGGAACATCGAGAAGGCTCCACCACTGTTGATTTGCTCCCGTAAGCTTTTGCGCAGTGGACGGGACAAGGGCAGCTTCAGTTCAGTTCCCATGTGCCGCCGTTGCGTGATTGTACCGTACCCGTACCGTTTCTTTTGGCAGCCATCGGCTCTCGGTGGGTGCAGTCACAGAGCGCTTTGGGTGGTCTCGTAAAAAAAGAGGCTCAGCCTTCCATCTGTTGGAATTTACCGTAAAAAACCCCTCTTCCCCTCAACTCTCCTACACCATGTTCTCCTCCAGATTCATTAGACCTGCCGCCAGCACTTTTGCCAGAGCTACTCCTCGCCCTATTATCACCAATACCCCTTCAATTGCTTCCCGCTTTTTCACCACTTCGTCGCCCAAGATGACTGTCCACAACATTGCTACGTGAGTTCTAATCCGTCGCTTTTCCTTCCCGAGGCCGTGTGATACATAAAATCGCCAGCCAGCAGCTTAGCCAGCCTTGATGGGTTCCCGTCTACCAATATGACCCAATGAACTGACAATATCTCGATACAACAGCGTCGAGGAGTTCAAGGAGGCCATTGCCAAGAACCCCATCGTTGTCCTTGACGCTTTCGCTACCTGGTGCGGTCCTTGCAAGGCCATCGCTCCCACTGTCGCCAAGTACGTTCCTGTTCCCGATTTCAATAGTTCCAGCCCCAGCAACAGCCTTGTGCTCTTGTAGCACGCATACACACACACATATACTCCCTTTCTACTCTACCATAATCTAGGACGCGCGAGCGCGAGCGAAACATTTCCGCCCTTTTCATAAAAACAATACAACGCACTTACTGACTAATCCTTTCTTGCTTGGAAAAGGTGGTCCGAGGAGCCTCAGTTCAAGGACACCGTCTACTTCGCCAAGTTCGACGTCGACGCCCTTCCCGACCTCGCCCAGGAGCTCGGCATCCGCGCCATGCCCACTTTCGTCATCTTCAAGAACGGCGACAAGGCTGACGAGTTCGTCGGTGCCAACCCCCCTGCTCTCCTGGCCACCATCACCAAGCAACTTTGAATAAAGAGCGGAGATATGGGATAGATACAACAGGATGATACCTAGAAATAGATAGGGAATGCAAAGTTTAAGCAATTCGGAACAGCACTTTGTGTGAGCGCCTACCTACATGCGCGCATGTGAGTGAGCAGGGCTGGGAAGGGAGGCTGTCTGGCTAGGTAGGCTGTGGTTAGAGTGTCATGGTTACATACATGACTGCAACTTACCATTGCAGCATGACTACGATGGAGACTGCTGCCGGTACCCAACCACGATTCATGGCCCGATACGAGAAAAAGGAAAGACTAGAAACGGTACTGGAAACACTTGCGTACCTATCAAGCCTACTTCCCCAACGTCGTCAACTGTACTAAACTCGGCGTCCTCCTCAACTGCCTCACATCCCCTTCAAACCCAAACCCATACACCGTCCGTCCCCCTCCCGCTCCGTCTACCACCTCCAGCCGACCATCACCAGCTCCAGCATCAACAACCCCATACCCCATCCTCCACCCCTTAACCTCCTCCGGCACTGTATCACCCCCGCCCGAAGCACCGCCATCAGTACTATCAGTCCACCTTACCCTCCCCAACCCGCTCCCCCTCGTCGCCGCCACGATGCTCGAAAACTTGGTATCTCTCACCACCCGTCCATTCTCCCTCAGCGCCAGCGCCCCCACCGCCACCCCCATCACCGCCAGGGCAATCGAGATGCTATACACGATCCACAACAACCTTGCATTGAACTTGTACACGAGCGCCATGCGAAACTTGGTGCAAGGGTACAAATAAGCTCTCTGCTGGTCTGTCAACAGCGACGGCTGGTTTGCGTCTGGCGCATTAAACGTCACGCCTGACTGTTCCCCGGGCTTCGCCGCCCAGACCACGCTGGCAAACTGGGGATGTCCCAATACCGAAAGGATGATGTCCTCGTAAAACTTTTGGATCCGCTGTTGGATGTCCGGGTACGGGAAATAGTTGTTTCCGAAATCGAGGAGGCGCGACGTCTGGATGGCCTTGGTGTTGGCGATGGGGTTGACGAGGTCGCGGTCGTCGCCGATTCCCACCGTGCCGTTGATCTGGTCGCGGAGCATGAACCCCAAAGAATGGTAGGCGGCTGTGCGCCGGTATTGCGGGATCGAAGTGGGGAGGATGTAGTTATCGGTGGGCGTAGCGGTGACGTTGTCGGCGGTGCCGTCGTTGGCGTCAATGTGCGGGGTGTAAGTCGTGTTGATGACGGGGCGGAGGTAGGTCACGTTGGTCACGGTGGTGGTTTGGGCGGCGCCGGTGTAGTTGATACGCACCGTGTAGTTGGATTCGTAGTTCTCGCAGGCGAAGATGTGCGGGACGAAGGACGTGTTCCAGGCTGGGTCGGAGGGGTTGGAGGGCACTGAAGGAAGGTTGCCCCTGGTGTCGTTGGCCTTGGCCAGCGCGTCGGCGAGGGTGACGTAGCCGAGCCAGATGATGGGCTCGGTGCGAAAGGCGCCGAGGTGTTTGGGAAAGGGGGGGTTCATTGTTGGTCGGCCGCCGATGCCGACTTCTTTCATTTGCGTGGTGGAGTATTCGCCGCCGCTGGTGAAGGCGTAGTAGGTGAATTTGCCCCTGGGGAGGAGGACGTCCATGTTGAAGGGCGGCGCAATACTTCCGGACTCTTGAGTTAGGTTGTTGACAATGGAATCAACCCCATTGCCCAATTCGATACACTTGTAGGCTGGGGCAATGAATTGGATCTCGAAAGAGCAGTTCCAACCAGTCCCGCAGGTTTCGATAGGTGCGTTCCTTCTCATGACAGCCTCTTCGAGAAAGGAGCCAATAGTGGCTGTATTCTGGAAACTCGGGTTGGGTGCGGTGTAGTAGTCGAACCATCCGGGAGTGTCATTCTCTGGTTCCTTGGTGGTATTCCATAGAGACAGGGGGATCTCAAATAGCCGGTCAATCTTTGGAGGTTGCCGCCACTCGTAGGTCTCTTCGAATGTGAGATTCAGCGTCCGCACCTCTGGACACGAGGTTGAGATTGTCATCTTCCTGGGAACAACGAGAAGTGTGTTGGAAGTAAGGACTACCACGAGTGGTGCCAGCCTTGCACACTTGTAAGAATATATTCTGACGCTGTCACAAAGGTAATAGAAAAAGGGGAACACATACCAGACATATGCCGCTAGCAACGCCGCCACTTTTGCGCTTTGAACCATCTCCCAACTCGTCACAGCCTGTAAGTCCTCCGTAGCCGAGAACAAGGCATCCAAGGCGCCGACAGTCATGAACCGTTTCCGAACCGTTGTCCATACCCGCTGCCTGAAAGCCACGATAACCGCGGCGCTTAGGCCTGCTTTCGCTCCAAAGGCTAACATCGTTCCATAGCGCATCATCTTGATTTGGTTCGTGGCTGGCCGCCCATCAAGAGACCAGTAGTAAAAGTGATGGGAAGCAGCACATGCAACGCCGAAGAGTAGGCATAGGTACATGTTCCATGATTTCCTCCATCGCCATGGCCAGCAGGCGCAACTGGAGGGCCTTTGTCGGGACTGTCGCGCTGTTGAACTCCTGATGACAGGAGGGGAACCCAGGCCCTGTGAAGTCAAGGGAACAGTTGATAAATTAACTGGCTTGGATGTACCTTTGGCCTGCTGTTGCCATTGATTTTCCTGTAGGAGTTTGGTCTCATCATCATGCCGCTGATAGATCAAATCAGGAGGGACAACTGAGGCATCCGGGTGCGGAGAAACGTCGTAGATGCTGTATGATGTGGCGAGTCCATCACCGTATCCGGCGTCATATTGGGTATTCTCGTAAGCAGTCTGCCCGCTATCTGGTCGGTGCTCGTGGTGTTGGTAGAAGTGATTCCCGGTTTCGTTGGGCATGGGACTGCCTCGTGTGGGCGTGTGAGGATTAGAAGCCCAATCCCTGAAGGAATGGACCTCTTCCTGGCCGGGTGTGTTCGGCATTTCAGAGGATTGATCGGTTGAAGACGAGGGCCACTGGTGAAAATCTCATCGTAGTCTAGTCTGCATGCTGTTAATCCACATTAAACGTTGGGCAAGGACAGAATAGACACTCGAAGAGTCGACCGTGATCACCCGTGTATAGTATGATGACCCGTCGATCATTGAAGCGATGAAAACATCGGAATGTATGTAAGCACTGGCTTTTTCTATGTCAACGAAGCGCAATGGAACTGAGTGAGACGAGAGAGACCCAGTGCTTGGTCACGTCAGCCTTCGGGAGCGCGGTTTTGCTGGGGCACACAACTGTTCCCAGCTGAACGGCGGGGCGTTACGCGGCTTGTCCGCTGTGGCCTGCCACTCATTGATAGAATATCTACATAGTATGTCAGATATTAGGATGAGACCATTGGCCCCCTTTGAGAGATAGTTGCGCCGCCCCGTTTCGGCCGGGTCTCTATAGTTGGACTTCGAGCCGTTGAGTGGGCATATCGATCATCGTTGTCACTGTGGCTGTGTGACACAGAGAGGAAGAGCAGGATGGTGTAGAGCCAGTCTTCTTGTTGGAGGGTGGCTGGTCAGGAGAATGTCCGACGATCTCGCTCATGAGCCAATCCCAGAGATGGTGAACGCCGCAAGTTCGAGGTTTTGGCTGTCAAATAGAAGACGCCCATTATTTGACATGTGTGTTCGTCGGGATGAGAGCTTCTATCGAACGAAGCAGGGCAACCGATAAGCGATGGATAAGTACCATCTGGGGAAACAGTCCCACATGCCAACGTGTTCAGCCCTACGCCGTGAGAGTCACACCGTCGAGGCACCGATATCGCCCATGCAGGTGATGACGTGGGTATCTTACGGTGTCTCTTCGGCCGTCTATGTCCCTCATAGTATTCGAAGTTGAGCATTCTGCCCAGGATCAAGACTTCGAGAGATAGTGTATCACCAAGCTGTCCAGGAACGAAGAGGAGGAGTGAGGTTGAAGTTTAGCGGGGTGTACGCTCGGAGTGCGGGTACATTGGCGTTGAGACGAGCCGTACCTAAACGGGATGGAGCGTTCCGTAAGCGATATGGAACCCGAGCGCTGCGGTTAAAGCCGAGTTGCCCGTAGCGGCGTGGGAGAACTATCTGCTACCTCTACCATAGGGCGCGCCTTTGACAACGGCCCACGGGGGGCTAGACCCCTAACGGTACAGTGAATGCTACAGTATGCGGGGACATACTGAACCGCGCCGTTAACAACAAGGTTGAGATCTTGGGCCGAGTGTCATGTCGGCGAACAGGTCTCAACTTTTCTATCATGACGATGAAGCTAGAGGTACCTAAGGTTGGAACCGGGCCTATGGAACTTCTGGTCCCCTGGTCGTCCGGTCGCTGCGGTAAATCCCACCTTGGAAAGATAAGAGACCAAGATCGGGATCCCATTGCTGGTTTAGGTGAGGATTGATCATGTTATGATTCATCCCCCAAAGGAACATACAGAGTCGGTACATATAAAGGCTGATTAGACCCGAGGATTTCCTTTTCGTTTTACTCTGTAAACATTTCATGCTCCCCGTTGACCTCAGGATTTATCTTCGCCCCTGGTTACATTATCCACAATGTCCACGATTGTTATTGTAGGGTATGTCTGACACAATCCCCGGTATCGGCTTGAGAAGCTTCAAGTACCCGAGACATCACATACACACAATAGTCTCACAACCACTCGTCGTCGTGATCAGCCTCACTAACCCAATGACATCCACCGCAGCGCCGGCGTGAGCGGCCTTACTTGCGCCCTTCAACTAGCCAAGCAAGGAGGAAACACCATCACCGTAGTAGCCAAGCACATGCCCGGCGACTATGACGCGGAGTACACCTCTCCCTTCGCGGGCGCCAACGTCCTGCCCATGGCCCCCGAATACAACCGCTGGGAAGGCGAAACCTGGCCCGAACTGAAAAAACTCGCCGAGACCTGTCCCGAAGCCGGCATCCACTTCCAAAAGGCCGTCCTCTACCGACGCGCCCAAGACGAAGCCGCCGGCTTCGCGGGCCCCTTGTCCGACGGCCTCTTCGTGCGCAACCCGTGGTACAAAGACCTGGTGCCCGACTACGTCGACTTACCGGCCTCCGAGGTGCCAGAGGGTATGTCCTCCGCCTCCTCTTTTACTTCGGTCTGCATCAACACGGCCATCTACCTCCCCTGGCTGGTGGGCCAGTGCCGGGCACGCGGCGTGGTGTTTAAGCGAGCCGTGCTCAAGCACATCTCCGACGCCGCCAAGTTGAGCCACACGGGGCGCAAGCCGGATATCATCATCAACGCCACGGGCTTGCTGAGTTGTCGACTGGGCGGCGTGATGGACCAAAAAGTGATGCCCGCGCGCGGACAGGTGGTGCTAGTCCGCAACGAGGCGACGCCAAACATGGTGTGCACGAGCGGCACGGACGACGGGAACGACGACGAGTTGTGCTACATCATGCAGCGAGCTGCAGGTGGGGGCACCATTCTTGGAGGTACCTACATGAAGGGTAACTGGGACGGCGTGCCGGATCCGAACATTGCGACGAGGATCATGAAGCGCGCCGTGGAGGCGTGTCCGGCGTTGACGGGTGGAAAAGGCATCGAGGCGCTGGATGTCATTAGGCATGCGGTCGGGCTGAGGCCGTATAGAGAGGGCGGCGTGAGGATCGAGAAGGAGAACATCAATGGGACGTGGGTGGTGCATAACTATGGACATGGCGGATGGGGATATCAGGGCAGCTGGGGTTGTGCGTTTAGGGTGCAGGAGCTGGTGGATGAGATTAAAAGTGAGTTGAAGCTTGGCTCTAAGCTCTAGTCTAGAGCGTTGGAATTACTGGATGAATAATGAAGGTCTTGGAAAATAGTGTGGTAGCAACCAACTATCTCTGGTTCAAGTTCAATGAATGTACCTCCGTGGCATCTGCTCCAAGAATTTTTGGCCGTCACCACCTTCGCAGACAATCTTGACTTATAACGAAACACGAACGAACCACAAGCAAGGATAGATCACGGCTAATGATGGCTAGTCCGCGAGAGCAGAACAGTTTGCATAGGATAACTGGTAGACTTTGGGAAAAAAAAAAAAAAAAAGCAGGAAATCACGGAGGTTGATCGAAGACCAAGCAAAGTAGAATCAGACGGTATTAGTATTTCCTAGTATCTACTCCTTTCCGCCCAACCACCGATAGACAACCGAAAAGTCTCTGCCCTTGCATCGCTCTTCAGACTCGGCAGTCTCGTACACCTCCGAGGCCTTGTCTGCTAGCACAAGCTTAGCTTCGGCTTCCTTGGCTGCCAGGATGGCCAGCCTCAGGTCCTTGCGCATCAGTCCTATTCCAAAACCGCCTTGGTAGTCGCGATTCGCAGGGGCAGTCTTTACGACGCCTGGCACAGGATTGTTGACTTCACTAGGCCAGCACTTTCCAGTGCTGACATTTATTACGCTGGCGAGCACCTTCGGATCAAGGCCCCATCGGGCACCGAGGTTCATAGCCTCCGCAGTAGCAATATTCTCAATTGCTAGCAGGTAGTTGTTGGCAAGCTTCGCCGCCAGACCCGCTCCCTGAGGACCGCAGTGCAACACCCGCTTGCCCATGCGCTGCAGGACGATTTCAGACCTCGCGACAAGGGAGTCAGGGGCACCAAGCATAAACGTCAATGTACCAGCGGTAGCTCCGACAACACCGCCTGACATGGGGGCATCGACAAAGTGACCCTGTCCGTTAGGGAGAGCCTTGTCTACCGCGGCCGCAACCTCACGCGAGGACGTGGGGTCGATGGTCGAGCAGTCAATGAACAGACGAGGACCAGGACGGGGAGGTAGCTCATCCTTAAGGATCGACTCGTATGTTGCCTTGACATGCTGAGGTTCGGGCAAGCATGTTACAACCGTGTCCTATGTCAAGATCCCAGTTAGTCTTGGGTCGCCATTGACATTGAATGATGACAAAGAATTGGGTGATGGCTTTTTTTCAGAGGATTGGCTTATGTTGTATAACGATAATCACTTCAAAGCCCAGCAAAACGCTGGGCCCAACTTAGAAAAACTCATGAATTGGAACAAACTCATCATAAAAGCTTTTGGGAAGAGGGAATGAAGGCCAAGGGCAAGAGTGTAACGTACCGCTTCTCTCGACGCATCGGCTGCACTGTCCGCCACGTGAGCGGAAGCTCCTCCGGCTTGCTGTGCTGACATCTCCTGGGCGAGCTTTTCAGCCGCACCCCGGTTGATGTCGTACAGGCGAATGGTATCGCTTGGTGGAAGCTTGGATTGTAGGTTTCTAGCCATCTGATAGCCCTATAATCCGAGTGTTAGCAACCTATCCCGAGTGGAAACACATGTATAGGAGACGTACCATCTGGCCTAGGCCAATAAAGGCATAGTTATCCAATCGGCGCGCGGTGGACGAGAAAGTCCGGCGTTGAGCAAGCAGCTGCTTGCAAAATCTTGTGTTTGCCCTCATGGTGAACTTGAAAGAATACGTATTGCGTTTTGATCAAGAACAATTGCGTGAAGAAACACAACGGTTGAGTGATTGACTAAACAATCGTGGTCTTGTTCGGCGGCGTAGGCAGGCATGTTCACCGTGACCAGCCAGGCGCGCAGGTGGTGCAGGCGGACGACAGGAAGGTGGTTGTGATTACCCGGAGGTAAAGCCGACCATTGCCGCCTTTGGCCAAGACCTGGAGCAGCAGGTCATGGGATCGCCAGGCGAAACCCAATGGAAGCTAACTCCTCGGAACAAACGATGGAAGAAGAGGGGTCGAGGGGTAACGGCCGACGCTGCATGAGTGTCAAGGTCGCGTTCCCCTTTGGCAAGTTCCCAGTCAAGGGCTGCCGGAATGAAGCCCGCAAAACATCATGGTGATGATGATTGTGGTGTTGAAGTGTGGTGGAGGGAAAGGGAAAGGGAAAGGGAAAAGAAAAAAAATGAGAGAGAGAGAGAGAGAGAAAAAGGAAAAGATATGCGATACGTTGAGCGGAACAAAATGACTCGTGCGCTTCCAAAATTGGAGTCTGCTCGTTTACGACGATAATAGCCCCCATAGCTTCATATCAGTTATATCCCCCCACCTGAAGCAGGCGATAAGCTGAAAACGTGCAAACACTCAACGATATGGTACCTCTCCACCATCTGGCCCGTTCAAGTTGAGTTTGACATTTGGAAGTGCTTGTTGTCAGGGGATGATGCCGAACGACGAGGAACTGCCAATGTGACTATGGCGTTGCACTCATCGAGACTCCAGCCTCATAAACTTGGCATGACAAAGAACATTCGACACCGAAGACAGACACTGGAAAATCCCTTGCCGAAAGATCTGCTTTGTTCCCTACATGACACAGTCAACTAGAATAGGCTCTACTATCTACAAAAGGAACTTCCCAGCCCGGCACGAACTTGGGAGTCTTCCTCCGCTGTTTACACTTTCGTTTCCCATCCCAGCGAGTTTGAGTAGCATGCCGCCTGCCCTTGCGTTTAGAGATTGTATATACCTATGTTGTTCCTACATGAGAACCAGATTCCATCCAAACGACCGGTCCACCTCCATTCAAAGCCATGGCCCTTCATGCTATGGACTCTCAATCATTGATTGACAGGCGACAGACGCCGAAGTGGGGGGTATGTGCAACGTAAAACAAACCGAAAATGAAACCAACCTTGAATTCAAGAAAATCCTATTTCCGTCCGAGTCCTGGTGTCCAACCATGCTGCACACCGAAGCTAACCACAAAGTTCGAGTTGACCCAAGGTTAACCAGATACAAGAGCAAAACGACCATTATCCCTAGTACACAGAAGACTCCTTGAACGAACTCGGCCTGCGCCCCATGTCTCCTTCAATATCGCGTCATGTGCCGACTCGGCTTAAACAGAACAAAGAAATTTGGTGTCTACGTCCCAACATGGGTTTATAGTACGTTGGCCACATACGGTGTGATTATGGGAAGAAGGGCACTGCGCAGAACGGGTTAGCACACGCTCAATACATCACTCGGAAAAAAGCAGCACGTACCCAAGAGCTCCTACGGCAAACGTGGCAGTGAGGCCGAGGTAGGCGCGCTTCCGGATTCTATCCTTGCGCAATTCTGCCTCGGTCTTCACCCTCTTGGCTTGCCGAGGTTGTTCAGCCTCATCTGCAGCCTTTTCATCCTCATCGACGCTAATCTTCTCCGCCTTGCGCTTGCCCTTGCTATCGGCCTCCTCTTCCTTGGTAGCCTCGGTCTCGGCCTTGGCCTCGCCTTCAGCCTTTTCATCCTCAGCACCAGCCTTGGAGGCCTCAACAAGGGCAGCTGCGGCCTCAGCATCGGCCTTGACGGCAGCCTCGACCATAGCCTTGGCTTCCTCAATCATCTTTCTCGCCTCCTCCTTGGACGGAGGCTCACCCGCCATTAGAGGCACCTCGAGCTCAACCTTGGTATGCTTCACTTCCTCGCCATCCTTATCCAGCTTAACGTCCTCATCGACTCGCACCTTGATCTTGGGCTCCTCCTCAATAGGTTCCAGCACGACGACGGGCTCCTTCTCGATCGATTCCACCTTGAGCTCTGCTTCGGTAGTTTGGATCTTGGTAACTGGAACTGTGTTGATCGGGGTAGAGGTAGGAATCTCGCCATTGATGAGCGTGGGGGCCTGGGAGTCAGCAAAGCTGGTGGCGGGGGTTTCAGCGGAAGGGACAGCGGTAGCGGTGGCGGTAGTAGTAACTGTAGTGGCAGAAGCTTCCGTGGTAACCGTGCGCTTGGTGTTGCGGGGGGTGGTGCCGCGTTTGCTGGCGGTTGTAGACTTGGCGGGGCTGGAGGAACGGCGACTGCTAGGACGGCTGCGCGTGCTGCGAGTCGTAGGCGGTGTGGGAGCAACAAGAGGAGGCTGAGCTCCGAAGAACTTGGGAGGAGGAGCAATCTGCTTGGGCGCACTGCTGTCGGTGGCTGTGACGGCGATATCTGAGGGATCGAGAAGGGCTCGGATCCAGGGGGTGATCTGATACTCCTCGGCGAGGATCAAAGCCTGCTCAGGGGGAATCCAGACATTGCCGGCGGTTTCCTCGGAGCTCGTGGTGGGAATGGACTTGATGTATTTGCGCTCCGCTTCCTCCTCTTCTTGCGACGCATATGGGAACGTGGCCTTGAACATGCCGGTAGCCGAGATGTAACCATCCTGGCTGCGGCGCATGAGGAAGTAGCTGGGAGGAGAGGACTTGAAGATGCCCGAGACGATACCCTTGGGCAAAGGGGCTCTGAGGTGGGCGTAGTCGAACGCCAGGAGAGACGACGGATCAACCTCAGCGCCCGGAACAGCAGTGACCATGCGAGGGGTCAGTTGAGTCTGCCCCAAGCGGCGACGGCTTGCAAGATCTGTGTCTGTAGTTGCGCAAGTCAGCTTGTGGTTCTCGTTCACGCACTTGTGAACGGTGGCTTACGGGACGGCACATCCTCGAGCATCAGAGGATTGCGACGGGCCGGAAGGTGCCTAGCTACTTGCGCCATGATGTCGCGGGAGAATGGCTGGGCCGCTATACAGATGTCGTGGGATGAATTGGGGGGAGGCAGCGATGGCCACAATGGGTGGTCTCCTGTTGGTGTCGTGAACGGCGAAGACTTTTGCGCGCAGGTCGCAGTGTGTCCTTTTGGTCGGAATGGTCGGTGGGACAACGCAACCAAAACGAGCCAAAACACAAAATTAAAATTGCTACTAGCAAAGCGATTTGAGCCAAAGAGGATTCTGGCTAGAATTGATGCTGATTCAATGGATGCTCCCGTGCGCTGGAATCCCGTGGAGAGCACGGCGGAGGATGGGATTGAAGGTGTGCTTGTGTGTGTGTGTGTGATGAAGGATGATGACGATCAAGACCGCTCGGGGGTGCGAAAAGTGCGGTCGGTCGCGCGCAATCTGGCAGATTGGACTCTGGGGAATCACTGGAAGCTTAACGGGGAGAGGCAGGATGAGACAAATGACGGGTTGATGGGGGCAACGGGGAGACCGGGGTCAGAGCTTCGGTGCAGCAGTGCAGAGCAGAAGTGCAGAGGATAGCGCGACGTCGTCCGCTGAGGAGGGTTTAGCGTGTCGCGGGATCATGGGACACGGGCCACGCAGCTTGGGTGGGATTCGATTTGATTGTGGGCACTATTTCAGGGCTAGCTTCCCTTGGGCGGAGAAGGCGGCCACTGCACCACCTCACTGCAGACGACTCCCGTTGGAGTGACGGCAGTCACCACTCTGGAAGGGTGGTGTTTGGCGTGGGGTGGCCCAAGCGCCCGTCCAGCACCTCAACTGTGAGTGGCAGCACATCACTTCGATCAGTGTGCTCAACAAGCCGATTGGATTCCCAACATCCCCACCAATAAAATACCACCAGAAACAGAGACGGCCGTCCGCAGCTCGACGACGCATCCTTTTGCAGGAGTAGCGGCGGGCGGTGCAGCAGAACAGAAAGCGGAGAGACAGGGTCCTCCACGGATGCAATGTGAGCAATGTTCCACACGCAGTGAGACTCTCTTCACGTCTCTGCTGCAGATGATGTCTTGTGGTGTTTGGAGCAGCCAAGGGACGCAATCAACATCCGGCGGCGAATGGATGTCAACGAAGTCGACACAAGGCCTCCTGATAAGATACCATACGGGTCTGCTGGACTGACGCTGGCCTCGACGTGAGCGAGTGGGGAGGGGAATGGCACATCAACAACTGAAGCTAAAGACTGGCCACATTTGGTGATGCATAGGTAGGTACGCACACAGAACTGTCAACCCGTCATCCCGTCCCAGGAACCCGTCAACCCGTCAATCTGGGGTAGCCAAGACCTCTACACCACCAGAACCATCATGCTCACCAGCGATCACCAAGCAGAGCAGAGGCGTCCTCAAGCGTTTCACACCGGGATGCTTCAACGGCTTGTCTCATGTTGGATCAAGCTCCATTCCGTGCTAACAGTTGTAAGACAACCGGCAGAGAACGGGTCTCAGCCGCTGAGGAGAAGGAAACGAAGGACCAGAAGGCTGAAGGGCGGTGATATCGCGCTCTTCCTAGCTAGCCGAAGGTGCCTATAAATCAAAATAACCGGAAGGCTGGCCGTTCCGTGATCTGACATGCCGGGACTCAACGGTGAAGAGAGCCCCCCCCAGTATCTCGAGCGGACGGGTCCCTGGCGGGGAAAGAAGGAGCGGTGAACGACCCAAAAAAAAGGCCCCCAATGATCGGAATCGGCCCTCTCAGGTCTTGGCACCATCGCTCACCACCATCGCTACCCTCTCTCCAAGCTCTGAACCCCTTTTTTCCTTTCCTCTCCAGGGGCGGTGACAACAGAGACACTTGTTGTTCACATCGCCAGTTTCGTGCAACCACTCGACTTGTCCAAGTCCATCAGATCACCGCCGTAGCTTGAACACTAGAGGTAATCCACTACGCAGCTCCCTATTGCCATGTACTGTACGTAGGTAGGTAGGTAGGTACCTCTACCATAGTCTCCAGGCTCGAGGAGAGAAGCAGGTGAGCTACTACAAGGCCCGTGTATTTCACAGCATCAACGGGCAAGGCAGTCAAGAGGCACAGAAGAAGGAAACATCAACAGCCAGCAGCCCAATGGATGAGGGGGATTCCAGACTTGATATGTTCTGCACGCGGGAACCAGGGAGGACAAATTCGAGGTCGACCGCGTTCCAGATGGCCCATGGTTATCCAATGATGGGCCCGTCTTGGTGTTGCTCTCGCATCGAGACCCCCAACCGCCAGATGCAGCTCCCCCTTGGCCCCACCAGCTTTAAGAGCTGTGGCCAAAGAGAAGACATCCTGAAAGAGTGCCGAGCCCCTCCATTCAGAATTGCTGCCAGGCCAGTCAGTTCCATCGCCGTCTCTCTTCAGTTGACTCTGGGCTCAGCCGCTCTCCATTGTGAGTGGTTCCTGGCGACTCGCAGTGAACGTGGGTGGACAATCTGGAACTGTGTGGGTGTCGATTGGGTGTGCACAGTGCTCCCGTCGCCCAAATAAATAAGCTCCGGCCTCGCTTTGTCCCGTCACCCCTCCAAAACCTTCCATCAGATCGGCGCCGTAAATACCATCATAGCTTCCGTCGTCGTCGACTTCTTCTCTTCTCCCGTCCTGTCTTTCTTGACTCTTCATTGCAACTTTATATCCTCCATATCCCGACGGATTATCATCTATTTTAATCAACAACCACTACCCCAATAATTCACAATGGCCGGCGGACACGACGAAGATCTGATGCCCGAGGACAACTCGGGCTACAAGCTCTCTCAGCCCAAGCAGTCCTTGGCTGAGTACCACAAGATGGGTATGTTCCAACCTTTGTCTTTACTGTTTGTTTTCTTTTCAGCATCGCATGCATCTTATTTCACCCGCATCATCTCTGCGGCATCGTGCGGATCGTGGGACTTTTTTTGGAAAAAGGGGGAACTGCGGGTGCGGTGACGACATGATGGTGACCCCTTTCACCGCCCATGCTTCACGGCGCAAAGGACTATGGCAACGCCTCACAACATCGCAACCTTTCATGCCAAATCTTTGGGAAGATCACGACCACTATAAGCGCAAAGTAAAGCTTGTGTGGGTTTCCCGTGGCAGAAACCTACCTCTGCAAATGTTGACTTGGCGGTCAAGTAAGCCAAAGGTCGTCGCAGACGTTCACAACTTCCAACAGGGCATGCCCCTGGTTTGAACACGAGGGGCGCGAGAGCTATCGCAGACCGGAAGACCACAGCACCGTCATCCACATAGCACCCAACCGCATTCAACCACACACACACAGACACATACATGCCAAAGAAAAGACATACCATTCATGAAAAGAAGAACCACCATGACTAACCCCTTCCCCTAGACGAGAACGACGAGTCCCTCAAGCGCTACAAGGAGTCCCTCGGCCTCGGCGGCGGCAACGACCTGTCCGACCCCAACGACCCGCGCGTGTGCATCATCCACTCGCTCTCCATGGAGTCCCCCGGCCGGGAGCCCGTCGTGATCGACCTGTCTACGCCCGGGTCGCTGGAGGACCTCAAGAAGAAGCCCTTCACCATCAAGGAGGGTGCCAAGTTCACCATGAAGGCCCAGTTCAAGGTGCAGCACGAGATTTTGAGCGGCTTGCACTACGTCCAGACGGTCAAGCGCGGCAAGATCAGGATCCCCGGTGGCAAGACGAGCGAGATGATTGGCAGTTATGCGCCCAACACGGATAAGAATCCCATGTACACCAAGACTTGTGAGTTTTTTTCTTCTTCCTCTCCTTTGTGACAGACATCCTGTCCGCTTGTTTGTCCTTGTGAATAGGGGCGGAAAATAGCTGACCGACTTTACGCAACGATTAGTCGCCGAGGAGGAGGCCCCCACTGGTATGCTCGCCCGTGGCAACTACAACGCCGTCTCTCGCTTCGTCGACGACGATGGCAAGACCCATCTCGAGTTCGAGTGGAGCTTCGATATTGCCAAGGACTGGTAAACTACTTTCGGGTTTAGATCGCCGTCATCGTCGTCTAGTTTCTCGCCCTAAGCTAGCCGGTCACTCAGTCCAGCTAGTCAGCCGCATCGGATACACACATACACTTCGCTGTTGGCATACTGTGACGAACTGCTGTGCCCTCGGTTGATTTCGTGGGCAAAGAGGGATGCGCCATTCGCGAACGAGGAGCGAACTCGATAGAGGATGAAGATGAAATTAATCATACTGAGGAAAGAAGACTAAACACGCGCTTCCTCCCTGTTTCGAAGATAAAGAAACAGGGAGAAAGATACACTACACTACCGGAACTCGACAAGGGAAAGGAAGGTAGAAACACACCGACGTCTGTTTCACCTTATCTAGGTATGGGACTGGAAAGGCAAGCGAACGGAACGGAATGGAATCTGGGCCACAGGATGGTTTGGTCGTTTAGGGTATACGCCCCCCTTTCCGGGCAGGAGGGAAGGGGAAGAGGAGAAAACTTCCTTATATTTATCTACATACATACACATCTTATCTTAGTAGTATAAACACACATAACTCTCACATACGCAATTCAGGTGTTGCGGTTTCTCTTGTCTGTTATGAAAAAGATCGGAGGGCTTGCTTGTTAGTAGAGAAAAAAAAAAAAAAAATAACTGTCCCGAGTACCTCTATCATTCATGCCTGCTTCTAATCTATGACATTGCGGTCGCTAGCGTGGGTATATGCAGTGTATTCACACTCTTTGGTGCGAACAAGTTCAAGCCAAGACCATCCGCAACGCTCATGCTCTCTGTTCCCGTCCTCTATCCCCATTCGCCCTGAATGCGCACTATATAGGGGGGTCACCCGTCTCTCGCCGACTACTACAAAAAGTAATCCGGCAATGCGCCCCCCTCCGCCGACTTGTCCTGATTCATCTGCTGATCCTTAACGGCGTCGTTCTCAGGAGCGGCCGCAAACACATTGAAGAAGCGCTCTCCGGTATCGCTGACCTCCAAGACACTTGCCATGTTTCCGCACCGGTAGCAGTAGTTGGGCGCGCTCCATACCGTGCTCAGCCGGTCGTCGTATAGCACCTGATACCCTTCCTGACAGAGCTGGTGCGCGCGCAGAATGTGGTTCATGTTGTTCACCGCCAGGAACTTCTTGACCACCTGCGCTCCGAAAGTGTAGCCGGCGCCGCGGGGTGATAAACTGAACTCGTCGCGGTCGGGATCGGGATCAGACCATACTAGGTCGGCCATGGGGCCTTCGTGAGGAATCTCTCGGAAGCGGTCGATTACTTTGATTTGGTCGATAGAGTGGATCGAAGGGGAGAGACCTGGCGCGGAAAAAAGAGGTTTAGCAACTGGCTTGTACACCTGGCGCCCAGAAAAGGGGGTTATCGCACCTCCGTGTACACAGAATATTTGGTCGTTGATGACCACGCTTAATGTGAGGAAATCAAACATGTCGGTAAAGTAATGCCAGACATTGGCATTGCCGTACTTGCGCGAGCACTCGGTATAAAAGCCGTAAGACTGCGTTACGCCGCGGGACTCGTGGTTTCCTCGAATCAAATGGACGCGGTTGGGGTATCTCAGTTTTAAACAAACAAGAAGAGAAATGGTTTCGACGCTGAACATGCCTCGGTCGACATAGTCGCCTGTTGTTTTTCTCCCAAGGTTAGCCAAACATGATCATTTCAGCAGCAATCGCATGGGGGGGGGGGGGGGGGGGGGGGCACGCGCCGCCCGCGTCTTGCTTCCACCACTACTACCAAGATCATCACACACCTAGAAATAGATAATTCGTGTCTGGACAGTAGCCACCGATCCTGAATATCTCTATCAGATCATAGAACTGGCCGTGGATGTCACCGACCACAGTAACGGGGGCGCGAACATGCACGACATTGCTCTCGCGCATTAGCAGCTCTTTTGTTTTGGCGCATATCGCTTCGATAACCGATTCAGCGAGTAGTTCCTTTTTGTAGAGGCGCGAGATACACTCGTCGAGGTCGACCGAAGCTATACGGTACGTCACATATCAGCGGTTGTCGTATGCCTTCGCCGTTGGATGTATGTTGGGTGTTTGTCGGTGTCTTTTTTTCTTGGCGGGGCGTGGGATGGGCAAGAAGAGGAGGGGCATGGACCTGTCCGCTGTTTTCGACGTTGGTGGCGCAAAGGGTGCAATGGACCAACTTACGGGGAAGGCCAGGCATGACGGGCAGAGATGATGCTCTCGTGTAGTAGAATCAATGGAACGGCGCTAGAAACACAACTTGGACACGTTTGCAGTTGGTAGTGTTGTGTCGACAGGCTCAGCAATCACGAGTTGCGGTAAAGGCTGGTGCTTCTCCCAGCGCGAGCGATGTCAGTGGTGGTGGTTGGATAGATGCGAATCAACATGTTCGGAGAGATCGTTATTGTCACATCGAACGGGGCAAAAGAGCTTCAGCAGACGACGGAGCGCAATCCTCCAGTCACTTGGTGATGGGACAGCTCAGCTTCAGTTTGCTTGAAAAAAAAAAAAAAAAAAAAAAAAATTGAAAGTTGGGAGGGAAGAAATGTGCTATACGGATTCTGAAAGAGCAGTCGCAAGCGGCCTAGCAGGAATACACCTTTCCATCTGAAATTGGTACTGTACAGTCTGTACTGAGGTGGAAATGAAGGCGACGTGTGTTTTTGTTGCTGAGGAAGCCGAGGGAGAAGCGCAATCCTGAGTGCTGAAGCCTTTCCTGGCGAATCCAAGGAGGCTCGACGCGCTGCACCTGCCTCCCATCTGCAGTGGAGGTGCCCCTGGGCTGCTGCCCCTGCTGACGAGGTGACGTGCCCTCATTCGGGCCAGCTGCGCTAAGTGTTGACGGTTCCTTGACACTCAGCTGGCAACATGGAAGTGGAAAGCAGACAGCTGGGAAACCGCCCGTCATCCCGGCCCGTCACTGAAAAGGCCCGTGCGGCAGCTCACCCAGCGGCCCAGGCTCTTGACGCCCTGAATCCCCGGCTCTCCATCACTCACGGCCTCACACGTGCTGGAAGGGACTGGGTGCTTGTGCCCCACTTGGTAGCCGGTTCATACAAAAGCCAGCGGTCTCCCTCCTCTCTTCCAACTTGGACCCTCACAAATTCCTTTCCCTGTTCCTCTCTCTTGCACCTCTGCTGCTTTGCTGCGTCCACGGCCACCTCTGAAGATATCTCGGCGAACTCATTTCCCCATCCTTCAGCTGTGTCAACGGACACATTGGTTTGATTCGGCGCTCTTCTGCCAATAGTTCCGGGCTTTTCCGTCCACACTTTGTATCTGATGGCTTTTTCTGCTTTTTCTGTTCATTCTGTCTATTGATTGCTGGCCAGATTCCCAGGACCAAGACGCAAAAGTCCAGTGTTGCTCTCTGGCGTAGTCTGAGGCTTCACTGCTTTTCAAAGCGTTGTCTCTGCCCTCTCTGGTGAGGCCTCTGTTGGACTGAGCCCGAGGTTATTTCTTTTTTTATGCTTCATATGCCTACTCTTTCACTGGCGTTTAAGCTCGAAGCTTATCGAGCCCCATTGTTGGCTGCCTTGGATCGCAGTTCAGGAGTTGATCAACGAGTAGTATCTGGTCACAGGGAGGAAGGCATTCATGGTCTTGCTGTCCACCGAGACAGCCAACGATGGGACGGTGTATGGGGATCATGACGGGGCATCCTGCGCGATATCATCGCAACATGTCTTTGTCATGTCCTCTATGGGCTTTTATCGAGGACGCAGTGGAGGGCTTTCGATGCGATCATCTTTATTGAGGTCGATCACAGTCAACATTGGCAACCCCTTACTCGGACCAACTTCTCTGTCACCGGGGAGATTGGGGACGGGAAGATTCAAAGGTAACACGTTTCATTTCCTCATCCTAGCTCTCAGAATTGGCCTTTTGTCCTCCATGTTTACTATATGACCCCCTCTGAGGTGGATGTACTTGTCGAATTCCATAGATGGCCAGCCCTGTGCTTCTGCCTCTTCTTGCAGGCATCGTCCTATTCTCTATACCTCTAGTTCTCCTAGAACCTATCAATCTCCAAACCAAATCATGAAAGCAAGAAAGGAGCCAACATCAACCATATCAAAGCGATGAGACGCAAACGCAGCTTGCCGAGTCGGAGCCGGGCCAGACCCCCAATTCCCGATGCAGTAAGGGGCTGTTTCTCACGTGATTCGTGCGTGTCAGCCCCCGCTCACTTGCGCCCAGAGAGTGGCGGCTGAACTTCTGACGGCGGCGCTCTTCAACCTCCAAAAATGCGACTTGCATCGGAAGTCAGTAGGGCAACCGAAGTCAGCTGGTTCGCAACTTGAACCTCACAGAGTCGAGCCACGACCGATTCCACAACACCACAACCACACGCCGGCAGACAGGCCACTTGTCGCAGCCTTGCCTCTAGACTTTTCTTTGCATTCTGATCTTCAATCCGGCATCTCTTGACGCCGCGGCTTTGTTAGTTTTTGGCGGCTTCCTCGACACCCTACAAAGAGTGACTGCCACAGCAGTATATCCCAAACCATTCAAGTGTCCCGCTGCCGGTCAATCAGATCGTGTGGCACAGACGCGCAACTGGCATACGTCGGGCCTAGATATACATCGCTCTCGAGGCGCCCGTTGATGTACATGTCCAAAAGGTTGCGACATTCCCAGTGCTCACGTCTGCATCTGCTCTCTGTTAGAGACCCTCTCTTTGCTTCCCGGTGGTCGCTCGCCAGGCTAATGTCCTCGCAGCGAACCTGATCCATCATAGGCATTCGCCATCCATCAGCGAAGCTACAAGTCATCATCGCCTACAAGGTCCTCTTTATATTTACACCCACGGGACTACAAGGCTACTCCTGATATACCTACTCCATTCAGCAGTTATACGCAGCCTAAGTGGCTTTTCATCCTCGCCTTCAGCCCATCGCCGGGGATTCTTTTTTTCTTTTCCATCTTTCCTCTTCATCATAGTGACCCAACACTATTTCTCTTTGCTCACCCCCCGGTCAACCCGTATATACCATGTCTTCCGCCGCAGCGGTCGACTCCGCTCCGGGACAGTCCTCCTCCCAACAAGAACCAATATGTTATAACTGCGGCACTCGGGGCCATTGGGTTGTCGCTTGTCCAGAGCCTACTAGGGATGTGCCTGCGTGAGTAACCTTGGGTCTCTTTGGCCCATCTGTCTTTGTAACAAACGGGTACGCACTTGCTACACCTTGTGACTAACAGTCCTTCCAGCGGGCTTCAACGATGGCAGTCTCAGCACCAGGAAGGTCATTCGTCGGATCGCAACGCTGCCTCCCATGATAAAAAGGGGCCCGTTGTCACTCGGTATCCGTTGCCTCCTAGCCAAGGCCCTACCATCACAAGATACGGTCCTCCGCAACCACCGGCGTATCCCCCTGGTGCACCACCGCCGCCGTCGATCCAAGCTTATCCTCCGGCCTCTTTTCCACCACCACCACCACCGCCGCCGCTACCAACATATTCCGGGAGTTACCATCCCCCGCCGCCGGCTGTGTATGGCCAGTTCCCGCCGGCTGTACCACCGCCTCCGTCGCAGTACGCACCGCAGCCTCCTTACGGACAGCCGCAATATCCTCCTCCGTATCCCCCATCCAACTACTACCCGAACGGCGTTCCCCCTCCCCCGCCTGGGGCTTATCCTCCGCAACCCTATTCTCAACCGGGTCCACCGCTTCCCGTGCCGCCGCCTCCTGTACCACCTCCCTATCCTAGTAGCTACAGTGGGCCACCGCAGCCGGAATACCATTACTCACCAGGTCAGAACCCTACGTATCCTCCTCCTACCGGGTGGGTACCACCGCCATTTGCTCCTCCCCACTTACCGCCCCCTCCTCCATCCAATTCTGGCGCAAACAAGCATCGTGGCAAGAGACAGAATCAAGGCCCGAAGCATTCAAATGCGCAAAGAGATAGACACGACAGGCACAACAGAGATGAAGGGAACGACAGAGTCGACAGGTTTGACCGCCATGACCGGTATGATAGGTCGGACAGGTTTGACAAACGTGATCGAGATGACGGTTTTGAAAGGGGCGAACGGCTCGACAGAATCGATCGCTTTGAGCGAAATGATAGGAACCAAAGGCCTGAGAGGCACGACCGGCCCGCGAGGTTCGAGAGAGCCGAGAGGAACGACAGGAATGACAGGCGTCGAAATGTGAATGATTCAGAGGACCGAGCCGGACCTGGGCGACAAGAACGCCGAAAGGAGCCACGAACAGTCCAGCCTGAGCGAACTTCCAAGCCCACAAATTCCAAGACAGCGGTTCCCGAGCCCAAGGAGGATGTAGGAAACGGTGAATGGGATCCAGCATCTGAAAAGGATATGCAGCGCATTTTTCCTGAACTTGACGTCAAGCCGGCGGATCCGGTCGGAATTCCTCTACCTGCGACTTACACGGATGATCCCACGATTCCGCCTGCATACAATGCCAAATGCGTCAAGTCTCTTTATTTCAACGATCAAAATGAAAAGGAGTTTGCCTTCTCGGTCCGGGAGACATCTTTCTGGTCTGTTCTTAAGCTAGACCCTGTCTTTAAGTTCTACCCGGGGATGATCAGGAAGCGCATCGGCGAGCATGAGTACACGACTCATATAATATCTGCGCCTCCTCATCCAGAAGCCAAGTTGAAGCTTCCACCGAAATTTACAATCTCTCGGAACCAACCAAAAGAGACGCCGGAAATTGATCGATATCGCCCACGACCTGACCAGCACCGTGATTTCTCGCCCAAACGTTCCGCCCCTCGTGACCAACCACCATCCGGATTTGACCGAGCACACCGATGTTATCAGCAACACCCAAAGCGGCCTCTGGACGACACTTTTGACGGACGTGATCGTGATCCCAGGGATGCAAAGCGGCTCAGACAGAGTCTGGACACTCCTGACCGGGGTCATGGCCGTGATGCCAATCCACCACCTCCTCGCAGACCCTCTCCAAATCCCAGGTATAATTTCAGTGCCGATCCCTGGTCGCCACAGGCTGGTGAGACGAAGGTCCCATCAATCGACCATCGCTATAATAGGGACACATACTACGACAATAGGTCTTCGTCGTCCAGAGACGACAGAGACAAGGAGAGAGGGAGAGAGCGACCATCCCAGTATGCGGACATGCGCCACGACAGCGGCTACCACAGCAGTCGTAGCCGCTCGCAGGAGCGCAAACCCCGGAGATCCTTCTATCGCGATGATTACAGGGATCGGGACAGGGACAGAGACAACCGACCGCTTTCGGGGCCATACCAGCAGAGGAAAAGGACGCGGTCTCGCAGCCGCAGCCGTAGTCCGGCTTCGTCTTACCTCTCTCCAGCAAGAAGCATTGCAAAGCGCAGTCGCTCCGCTAGCCGTGGTCGTAGCTTGACTCGTAGTAGGAGCCGTAGTCGCAGCAGAAGCGAACGCAGCGAATCCCCCCTCACGGCGCTGGATAAGGAGCTGCTGGGTTTGACCGACGAGCCTAATGAGCCCGTGAAGTCAAAGGTGGTTCCCAAGAAGGTGGCGCCGAGGGTCAAGGTTGCTGCGGCTTTTGGGTGAGTAACTTCAGTCATATCTTTCTATCTAAGGGAATAAACGCTAACATGCTTGATAGTCGCCGTTGGTGAACCTTACAACACATTTACTTTTTCTTATTCTTTGCTTTTTCTTCACAATTTGAACGAAATCGGATGTTTATCTTTTGATCCGTCATATCCCGGCGTTGAGAGAATGTGGGGCCTCTTTCTTGTGTTTACATCAGGGCTTGTTGTTACCAGGCGTTTCTCGTCCATGGAGTTTATGTGGCTATCGAATGGTAGGTGGATGGGTGGGCGGGTGTTATGGAGTGACATATTTCTTTTAAGCTGAGTTCACGCAGCACCATCGTTCAAAACATTTTCTTCTTCTTTTTCTTGATACAATATTGCATCTGCCGGGCACGGGAATATCTTGCTTCCAATCGTGGACACAAATGTCCAAACTGTGATGCCCAAGATGCCTATTGTACCATCTCCTCACAAACCAGATGCGCAATTTCAAATTTGAAAGCTCATACAACTTCCAACCTTGAGGAAGGAAGGAAGGTAACAAGGAAGAAACGAAGGAAGGAGCTACCACGAAAACGTGAAATCTCGAGCCGCATAGGAAAGAACACCTACCTGTCTGAAGACAAGAATACCTCTAGGTACAGTGATGGTCCCAATATGGGTAAGGGGGGACAGTATTTTTTGACTTGAGTTTACCTCTAATCACACCGATGAACCCTCGGAAACAACAAATATGATCACATCAGGCTACAGACCGACCCACGAACTACCTCTATAGAGAGAGGTTTATCTAGGTACCCTTCAAATACCAACCCGTCACAAATCATTGATACAAGTTACCTGGTGAAATGAACCAAGAAATGCAAAAGTCCTCAATAATGACTTAGATTTTTACACCAATCGACTCATGTCAAGAAACCTCTAACGTCGTGGACTTTAGGTTCTCAAGACCGCTTCTGTACGCATTATGCACTAAGTAACATCGAAAAGAAATTTAAAAGAAATTTAAAAAGAGGAAAAAGAAGAAGAGAAAAAGAGAGAAAATTGGAGGCCAAAAAGGAAGAACAATAAACTGGTTGAAGAAAGCAACTTGGCACACACAGTAGGGTAGGTCGTCGTCGTCACGGTATTTTCATTATATTTTATCAAGGTTGTGTGAGTACAGGTTGGACAGCGAACGGAACACCCCGTGGTGGTGTGTCCAGGGGTGTGGTCAAAGCAAGCCATTACCACAAATTAACCCGTCCTTTTTTCATTTTATTCCTTCATTTCTTGATTTAATAATTTTGTTAATTTTGTTAAAAAAAAATTTTCTCTTTTGGTCTGTTCGTTTTCTTTCTGTACCATGATATCCTCGTATTATAGAAACATGAACATCGTAAGCGCTCACTCACTGGCGACGTGATGGTTGTTTGGGTTTCCTTAGGCTAAATGTAACCTTCGTATTGAGGATGTTTGTGTCCTGTCCTCATGTGGTAGCGTAACGTGACGGACTGGCGGGCAGAGGGCAGAGTAATAGTAGAGGAATGTATTGTTCTTGCAGACATACAAGTACCACGATACGAAAGGTTCAGTAAAGGAGAGCATCTATCACATCAATTTGTGAGCATGGAACGGGAGTAAAGCATCATTCGCTTCTTCTTTTGACCGTCTATTATTTATCTAGCCAAGCTCTCTCTTGTACCGTGGGAGAAGTAGAGTCAAGGAACGCAATCGATAGATAATTATTCATCCATCCATCCATCCATCCATCTGTCTTTCCTTGCCATATCCCCTGGATATACAACGCTCCTAAATGGTTCTTTTTTGCCATATCCTCCCTTCGTGGTCTCCCTCCTTGCTTGCCTGACTTCCATGCGCTTCCTTGGGGGTATCCTATCTGGTATCAAAGTAAAAGCAAAAACAAAGCATTCCGTGAACAAAAGTATTTGAGAAGAAATATTAAAAAGCGATTATTCCAACACATCCATGGTTGGAAAGCAATGGCATATATGACCACGCGCAGGCGTGATTGAGTGATCACGACCTTAGTTTTGTCTCAGAAACCACCATGGCGACCGAAGCATTGTAAGCCAGAGCCAAGCAAGAAAGGAGTGAGCGAAACGTAGAGTTGGGGGTGGCTGATCTGTGCGAGAATATGATGGGGTTTTTGTAATTCCTGTCAATGACAGAAAGGTGATGGGGTATTTTTTGTAATGTGGTGTAGTGTGGTGCGAAGAACAAAGGAAAAGCGCCTCCAACGAGTGAATGGTAATCGGTAAGTTAGAAAATGGCGCCTTCACAAAATGTTATGAACAAGACAAAACAAATCGAAACGAGGGTGGGGTATCTCGCGGGATCAGCCAGTCATAACCACTACATATCGCCCACTCACTGCTTCTCGACTCCAGCTGCTTGCGCTGCCGAGTCATCCAGGAGTTTCGGTGGTAGACTCCTCCGTTTATCGGTGGAAGAACGCGGGGACAGGGACAGTAGCCGAGCGCTGCCGGCGCTAATGTGTCGTGCGTGTCCCTTGCCCAGATTCACGCTGGTCGCTCGCCGAATCTCCTCGTATTTCACATCCCCCAAGGTGTCCGAGTGTTCGGGGCTTGCCTCGGGAGTATGCGTATCGCCCAAGAAATTGAGATAACCTTCAAAGCTTTTCGTTCGGACATTGGCAGGATGACCGTGAATGACAACGGGTTGCCCTTCCCTGACAGATCCCCAATGAGGTTCCTCTTCCCAATCACTTGATGCGCGAGCCTCCCCACTGGATTGCCGGTTCCATCCAGGACGTTCTCCACTAGGACGTGCAACACGGGATAGATAATCATCATCCACGATGGATGATTCCTCATTTAGGTGTTCATGCTCGGGCGAATATCCATCCTGAATCTCGTTATCCGGCTCTAATGTCCGAGGAAGCTGCCTGTATGGTGTTGATGACCTCATGAGACTTGATGACTTTCGCCTCTTCGCCGAAAAGCGCCCGGATAGCCATGATGCCTCAGAATCTATGGAGGCAAGCGACATGGTCTGCGGTTCAGGGGTCATATTACGCTCATCGGGGTGGCCGAAGGACGAGGGCGTATGACGGAGTGCGTCCACAGATCTCTGTTCTGATGACGTTGGTGTCTCGTATCTAGGGCCATTCTCCGATGTCGTTACTCCTAGAGGATCGATATCATTGTTTGGGTTAGGAGACGCCTCGGCGATCGTGGGGGGAATCGAATCACCCTCGTTTAAGTGTATCCTGGATCCCGGTGGCGTGATTGGGAGCTCGGGAAGATCTTCACGGAAGCGCGATTTCGTGCGCTTCGGTACTCCCGAGCTAACCCGTCGCGGGGTGAAATTGGATGGTGGTGTTGGCACCTGTAGTTGTGGCGTTTGCATCGAGTCGCGCGACGTGTTGGAGAACGAAGACGGCCCACCGGAGCTTCGTCTGTTCTTGTTCCCCCACCTGAAGATGGATGCCCATGATATTGGTCCTCTGGAGCCGCTGGTCTCCGACCCTCTCCGCATCTGTTCCGAGTGCTCCGTCTTGGCCGAGGAGGCTTGTCGAGATGATCGACCATTCGTGCTAAAGAAGAAACCCCTTGAATGCGAATTGGCTAAGCCAGGGGCTTCTGGCCCGAGGGGGGAAGTGGGAGTCTCGATCGGAATGCTTTCCGTGCGATGGAAAGATCTCAGTGGGTATGGTCGCCTATTTTCCTCGTCTTTTCCTTCGTTGAATTCTTCCCTCGATCGCTTTCTTGCTGATCTTGAAAGCTCGTCCGATTTACGAATCCTTGATGACGTTACCACCGCAGACGCAGGGTCGATCCCCAAACCCACGGCCTCACGGCCAAGAACGCCTCTCTCCAGGTTTGGAGGAGACTCCCTGCCTTCCTTCTGCGCGTCATTCTCATCAGCGCGCTGCTTTTCCACCCGTTCGGCTAGTTTCGTTTGCGCCTTTTCCTGTTCTCGCTGCTGTCTCCGTTCGCGCCGTCGCCGATCTCGCTCCATCAACTCGCGAAGATCACTCGCGCTTAGGTCATTAGCGAGGTCGTCAACACGTTTATGTGCCTTCAGTGTCGCCTCTGGTATGGGTTCTACGAGCCTCTTCTGGCGCTGTGAAGGTTTCTTGGCAAGCCCTGATGCGTCAACCTCGCCATGTGAAGAGCCCTGTCGCGGATGTGTAGAATATCGAAGGGTTGGCCTAGGAGCGAGTGCTTCGAATGCCGAGACTTTGTAGGAGATTTGTTCGGAGTCGGATGAAAAGGCCGAGTTAAGGGATTCGCGTACGGGTAAGGACACGTCGGAGGATCTCTGACCCCGAAATCCGAGACCATTCTTGATTTTCTTGCTGTCCTTCTTCATGGGGCGTCCCGCCATCCAGTCCTCGGTTGCTGCTCGAATAGGCACATATGTGCTCATCGCCTTGATCTCTGCCTCCCGCGCACGATCGTCCCTCCGCCTCTTCTTGCTCGATTTCTTTCGTAGTAGGTCATCGCCGTCGCGTTTGTTGTGAAGAGTAGGCACGCGAAAGAACACGTTCCGACCTAGTTCAGTGTTGGTGGGCCCTTGAGAGTTTGCTGCTAATCCCGTGACTCTCCATTTTCCTTCAACGCTAATCTTCCGCCCAAGTTTAATCGAATCGTGGCGACCGGGGGAGAAGCTGTAGGTGCGTGCTCTTCGTGGAAGCTTGTGAGGATCCGCTCGATCCTGCCCAGTCTTTGCCTGTTCCGCTGTCGAAGCTTGGCCTATTTGGGTAGCATCTCGATGCCCATCGAAATCCGTCGTGGCGGGGCGAGAACGCCTCTTACGGCTTTTCCGCCGAAATGGCCAGATTGCCATGATGACTCGGACGGACGTTTGGCAAGAAACCGTTGTGGTGCAACCGGAAAGCTGTGTGGTTGTGTACAACTAGCTGTAAGATGGCACGTATGGCTGGTTTCTAGTATTGTCTGTGTTTTGTAGTAGATGCGACCGGTTCATTATGACCATGATTCCAAGGTGTGGTAGACCAAAAGAAGGCAAGACGAGTACCCAGACGGCCTACGAATCTAATGTGGGGGCCAATATCTTCAAACCATGCTTGATATATGCCAATGTGAGAGGCGCGGTGATATGTCGCAGGATTGAGTGAGTAGAAAGCTAGAGGAAGGGGCGGCTGAGGACGGTTTGCGAGGTGGCGATTCTTTTGTCGCGACGACCTGGGATGGCAGTGTGGTGGTATTTCCAAGGATCGAGGTAGTCAGGTACTGATTCAGATATCCATGCAGGGTCTGGCTTGGATTCGTTTGGAGGTATGCCAAGGAAATTATGTTCTACCGGTAGAATTGTCAATGAGTGTCTTTGCTTTGTTGGAGAAGAGAGTGCACGAGAATGAAGCAGTCCCGGTGTTTCCTCTTTGTTCCGCGGACACACTTCCACCACGCAACCAAGCGACGTAGCATTCGGCTCTTGAGGGAACTCGGAGGCAAAACCAGGAGGTTTGAGCGCAACGTGGAAGCAGGTCCCAAGCAACAAATAAGGGGGATGTTGGCTGGAGTGGTGGGCAAGGGAAAGTGAGAGCGAGGGCAGAGGTAGCAATGATCGACACCCAAATTTTCCCTGTTGCTGGGTTGAAATAAAAAGGGCAGGATATAAGGTGGGGTGGGATCAACTTGGAGGAAGGTGTGACGAAGGGAGCAATGAGAGAAGTATTATCGACTGTCCTGCGCCTTGCTGGCAGCTCGGGTGATAGAGGGGGGATCTGGGGATAGCTTGCGTATTCGAGAGGCACAGCTCCAACTTGAAGGTGCACTGCGTGTATTGGGTTGGACAGGTAGACAACGGTTGGGCAAAGGAATAAAATGGGTAATTACCTTTGTGAACTGTGACTGCGGGCCGGACGGGGAGACGGGGCGGTCCCTTAGAAAAGAGGAAAACGATGGATGGAGATTGGAGGTGAGGTGCAGGTGAGATGGTTATGAATGGCAGCAAATGGAAAAGAAGAATGAAGAAATCGATCAACAGCCGACGAACGAGGGGGAGGAGGAGACGGCAAGTGCCGCTTTTACAAGGTGACTTCCATCTGAAGAACCTGAAGCATGGAGAGGAAAGGATGGAAGGAACCGCAGTGGGGAGCAATGAGTGCCCTGGGGAGGCAAGTAATGTGGATGTAAAGCTTAGCTAAGGTAAAATAGTGTAACGCAGAAAGATACCTGTACGAAGGTAGGTACCTCTACCTTTAGGAGCAGCCTGGGGGTGAAGCAATGAACTGGAAGGTACGGAACCGTTCAGTTATTGTCGTCCAGGATTCAATCTCGCACTTTCTTCGCATTGAAGTAGCTCTGGAGTGAGGTCACGCATTCAGTTGCCTCTTCAAGTGGCAGGCATCGCGTCCCTGTGTAGATATCTGATAGTGATAGTTGGTTCACTCCCTCAACCGAAGCCATGACGTCCTTACATGGGCTGGACATCACATCTAGCTGAAAAATAAAATTAAAAAAGGGGACCTGAGCTTCCCCGGCGTCCCTGCCGTGGGTGGACGGTAAGCTGGAAACCATATGCCCTGCCGTTGAAAATGCGTGCTTGCCCTGCTGCCCTCTGCCCTGCCCGGGCCTGCGACTTGCGAGGTCCAGTTGCAACCCTCTTACGCTATGGTAGTTGACAGCGGGCGTGCGTGTGTGCGTCTGAAGTCTGAAGTGGAGCTCTACCGACTGCGCTAAACTATTAGGGCATGCAGCCAGGGCACTGGAACTCCGTACTCCGTATTTCGCAAGCGTATCATTGGCGTATCGTAATGTGCTGGCGCTATAGGAAGCTTGAATGTTGCACATAAAGTGGATCACGGGCGTCACTGGGCGATGCAACTACATAATCATTCCCGTCCTCCCTCAAATTTAGGTCTTCCCCGCCATCAATAATCTCTCTCCTTTTCCACACTGCTCCTGTTAAATTCGACTTGTCTTTTGCGCATTGCGTCTGGCGCAACCTTTCTCCGCACTTTTCTCCTCTCATCTCACGTAGGCTCTCACGAGATAGCTTGGACGACGACCTACTGGACGCCGCAAGTGACGGACATATGCATCACGACCGATATGCTACCAATGAAAACATGGAAACCGGAAAATGTTCAACGGTCGAGCACGCCCACCGGCCATTGCCATGGAAATGGCAGGTGCTCTAAGCAGTGGCGGCAACCATTGGACTGCCCCGAAAACGTGGTGGTGTAAAGCCCATCTAAAGGTCCCCTCATGATAAGGCTTGCCGTTCGACGAAACGGGCATTTCTCGGATTGCCAGGACCAGGACATCGAGACCGCCCGACGGGACCCAGTCCGGAGTCGGATCGATGCTCTGTGTCCCCCCGGCTGCATCGGACATCTTGAACGCCATATTGGCAAACTGAACATCAGCTGGACATGCTGACCTTGAAGATGCGCTTGGTCATTTTTGAAAATGGCCTCTCTGTAGAACAAGACTCCATCACCGAAGTTCAATGACCCTACCTACTTGGCTTTTGTATGGGCTTTTTTGGTCGGCATCGAGATTCACAACGAAGGCCAGCCGGTTGCAACGAGTTCTTGGCGCTCCGGATATCGACCCGTCAGTGCCTATCTCTCGCTCTTTTCGTGTTCTTGAAGCTTTGGCATTTCTCCATCAATCATTTCTGCACTTGAAAGCTTCCATTGCATAAATGTCTGCTGCCAATATTTGCACCCAACATACATCTGTCGTCGGCGCGCATTGCAGACCACGCCTTTTATAGCCACTGATAGGCGCAAAAGTCTCGGCCACTCCCTACTGCGTACTAATAGTAGTCTGGGGTTGCCGTGGCCGTCTGCAAACAGTGCCCGAAACGCTCGTATCCGTCCTCATCACAATAATCGCGGCCCCCCGGTGAGCACTGAGATGTTGCAATGAGTGGCCAACAGTTCACCCTTACTTATAGTGTACTATGTTGGTATTGTATTTTTTTGACCCACCTCTCACGATGGCGGGAAGCTGGGGCTGCCCGTGGCTTGCAGGAAATGGAGTTCCCTATGTTCTTTCGCCAAATCGACGATACAATGTGTCCAGTGTATCGATGTGCGTTGCGGGACCCCGAAAACTCCAATTTTCCCTCCTCCAATCTGGCTGGACCGGGGTGCGCTGGAGCCAATTATGTCATAGTAACCCCCTCTTCTCCCAAGCTTCAGCCCATCGGAGTCCATCTAATTGGCGTCATCCTGTCTTTTGGTAAAAGTCTTTCTTGTGTAACATAATAGAAGCGAGCGCCGACAAACCCAGCTTCGCTCAAAAACGACATACGATGCATTCATTTATCAGTGCTTCCCTTGGAAGATACCAAAGGACTCAAACTTTCGGTCGTAACGTCGCCATCATCGTCGCTGTCGCCGTCGCCACGCTTGGTTCGTGTTCAGTGCAATGGATCCAAAGATTTGCGGCTTTCAGTTCCACTGTTCCACACGCAGTCCCCATGCAGTAGCGCCGGCCCAATCCTGGGAATAGTAACTAGTGCACAAAGCCGCCGATAGTTTCTGCAGGGCAAGGCGTCGTTCAACTACACTACGCTATGTACAGCGCGGCCCGGTGTCTGTCAGCTTGACACGTGTGTCGGGTGCACTTGAGATGTCCAGAGTGCCCAGAGTCACGGCAGCATCCATATATCCGAGCACAAAGGTCGTGGAAAGCTGTCTATCTCTTCGAAAAGCCTCCCTTCTCCTCCTCAAGGGACAGCGATAAGGGTCAGAAGCAGTATGAGGCTACAAGTATCACCAAAAGCGAGCGTGGAGTTGTTGTTGTAGGTTGCGCAACAGCGGGTCACCCCGTGCGCTAACTGGCTGTCTTGGACGACTCTTGGGGGTGGTTTTTACCGTATACGAGATGGATACTCAGTCTGAATGCCTGATTCTGCAGGTGATGCCGTGCTTGGCCATTTCCCGTCGGTAGGACAGTGGGACTTGGAATCCACCAGCGCGAAGGAGCTGACAAACCAGGCACAAGAGACGGTACAGCATTTCAGAGAGAGATCCAGGAAATGGGCACGATGCGTGATGATGGAGCAGACAGCATTAACACGTGAACGGGCGCTTGTTGAAATTTAACCGAGAACCGCAATTGCACTTCCCGTTCACACCCGCTGCTTCGACATCGCACACGCTCGACCCAAACAAGCACCCACCAAGTCCCACAGCATGCCAAATTGAGAGCACAAGAGCCTCCCCGGGAGCTTGCGGCGACTGCGCACAAGATTACGGGCGTAGTTGACTTGTAAAGTAAGGTCTATGTCTGTGTTGGGAACAGAGATAAAGACGCTACAATGATAGACACACACACGACTTTTAAGATTTCATGATGTTTGGCAAGAGGAAGAAAACCCAATCAGTCACACAAAGGATCCCAATTCCGGGCAAGCACCCAAGCTTCATTGGCTGACAAGACACCAAAATTGTTGCGTGCCTGAATGGATATTGATGCAGGCCAGGTTCGGGGAATGGATAAGGCGCATCAGCCGTGGGCCGTGGTCGCAATGGAACGAAGACAACGGTGAGCGCCGTTTGATTGTTCGCCGTTCGACTTCGCGCGAAGAAAAAGAAAAGAAGAAAGGCAAAAGCAAAGTGACAATGGATCACTAGACTGAATGAGCCACCAACCTTATGCTCATGCACGAGGTGCCTACCTCATGGCAACCCGCTCGAGTCATCGTCTAGGAGAGAAGGAAAAAAAAGTGAGATCGCGTCCATTTCCCCCAGAGCGGGCTGCCGTCTGCCACGGGAAGCAGGAAATGATGCCATTTCACCAGGTTCACAACCAACGACAGCACGACGAATGGGTCCTTGCCTTTGGCGGCTGTGTACCGCATATCTCATCTTATGAACCGCAGGAATCAGGAATTCCAATATACAAGATCTAAGATTCCGCCGTTATGGTGAAGAGATCTTTTCTTTCAACAACCATGCCATGGCCTTTGGCCCTATCACATTCCAACACGGGATTAATGACACCACAAACAAATCACGGGGCTCTGGGAAGAGGAGGGTGTTTCCAGGTTCCTCTGGGTGTCACCATCCAGTCATATTACTAGTCAGGGGTAAAGGGGAAAAAAAAACTTCCATGGGCTGATCCGGTACCTGAAAATGAATTTGAATGAAAGAATGATTACTTGCAAGTGCTGACATTCAAGGTCCAGGTCATCCTCGCCTTTTGTCTCTGACTCTCACAGCCCTTCTCTGCTACCTCATTCTTTGGTTCTTGTTATCAGTCTGGACCGAGGCCAGGCTCACGCTGAAGCATTAGGCGACATTACTGCTAAAGCGAGAGAGAAAAGGCAGAGCCCGAAGGACAGCCGTGTATCAAACAGTAAAAAAAGACATTGCCTGGGATGGATGCTTCCGAAAATCGAATGCCAAGAGACCATATTCTAGGGTTCTTTTGCTCCACTCTGGACTGCTGCTGTTCACCTCGGCGATCCCCAGGGCCGTCGGCCGCCGTCTCATCTCTCTCTTCAACACCTCAAGTTGAACAATCCTTTGTCTCGTTTGTACATACAGTACTCAACTTTCCAACTTTATATGTCATGGCAAATGCCTACGTCGTTAACATATCGATTCAATGACTAATCAACAGCAATTAATTGCCAGAGACAGGAACTAAGACGAAAGCCCCCTTCCCCCCATTCCATTCCCATGCGAGCATGCTCACCATACTAAATGGATACTTCTACCTATTCACTTGCAGAACGCCATACACAGCTCCCGCAACTCTGCAGACGCCCCCC